TGGTGTTCAAAATCATGTTACTTATGAGCCATGTGACCACAGAGTATCTTTGAGCCTGAGTTCACTTACCTGTAAAATTCTGCCGTGCTACTGCATAGAGTATCTGAGAAAGTGAGGCATGCAGTTGATGTTCAGTAAGTATTTTTGTTTCATTTATTTATTTTACCACCATGCCTAGAGAACAATAGATGTTCATAGATGTAAGTATTTGAATATGTTAGTTAATGCTTTAGGATTTCCTAAAGGCAGTGGAACAGAATTCTCACTGAGTTCAGAGCTTTTCCGTATGATAATGTGCGCTCGTGGAGCTCCTGAATGGGGTCCACTTTAGCAGTTGCCAAAGTTGCTGACATATAACACAAGGGCATTTTTTTTTTTTTTTTTGGACACAGAGTCTCTCTCTGTTGCCCAGGCTGGAGTGCAGTGGCACGATCTCGGCTCACTGCAAGCTCTGCCTCCCGGGTTCATACCATTCTCCCGCCTCAGCCTCCTGAGTAGCTGGGACTACAGGCGCACGCCACCACGCCCGGCTTATTTTTTGTATTTTTAGTAGAGATGGGGTTTCACTGTGTTAAGCAGGATGGTCTCCATCTCTTGACCTTGTGATCCGCCTGCCTCGGCCTCCCAGAGTGCTGGGATCACAGGTGTGAGCCACCGCGCCTGGCCTAGAAGGGGCATTTTTTTAACCTTTCCTAAACTGTTCCTATCGTTATTGAAAGAAGCTTCCATATGCAGTCATTTTCATAATAATTAAACTCTAGAGCATGTTGTGAAATATCCATGTGATCTAACCTTTAAAAATAGAAACTCTGTAGCTGTGTAACTACACAATTCTGGGTAGAAGCCAAAACAATCGGCACTTCTCATTTCTGAATTTAGATAATCCGGTTGTACTCCCTCAGCTCATGGTGAGTTTTGACGTGTTCTGCATCCATGAACACCAGATGTGATACAGTAGGGAATTTCAAAGGAAGGATTACACACCTAGGCTCTGCCCTCTAGGATTTTACCGTCTTACAAGGGAGTTGAGACAAAAGCAAGAAAATAACTCTTGCAACTTCTCCCAACATCACAACTTTGCAATTCTTGTAAATTTTGCGTGATCCTAGGGCATGACCAAGGCAGAGGCAGGCAGGTCCTACTTCATGTGGGAGAGAGGGAAGGAAGGGTTGGCGATTAGAGTGATAGGTTTGGAATACTGTAGAAAGGAGAGTGGGCAGAGCCGAAGTGAGGTGTCTGGAGCTTGTCACACAGGCAGTGGGAAGGGTGGGTTGTGGGTTTCTGAGCACCAGAAAACTTTGAGCGCTGTTCCGGAAGAGGCAAGCGGCAGGCATCTGTGCACGGGAGACACTGCCGGGTCCAGGTGAGAGCAGAAGGCTGCAGAGGGAGCCTCCCTGGGAGTGAACGGTAGGTTCGCTATGGGAGGTGGGTTCGAAAGGTGCCTGAGGTTTTCATTTGAAACTCTGTTGAAGAGGAATTGAAGAGGAAATACAAATAGAGGAAAGATTGGTTTCCTCTTAATCACTGAGGCTGTCGGGCAGCTGGTGGAAAGTGCTGCTGGAGAGAAGCTGGAGATCACTGAAGCTGAGAGAGGGGTTTGTGGATATAATTAGAGCAGTGTTTATAGGGAGGTGGAGGTGAAGGGACCGAGAGAGAGATGAGGTTACAAACACAGAAGAGAAAGAGATGGAGATGTGGAGGCCCCTGAGGTGGAGCAGCTGCAGAGGCAGGCCTGGGGGCCAGGAAGCTGGCTCTCCACTTTCAGCTGTTGGTGAGAAGGGAGTGACGGCCGAGCTTCTGCCATCACGCAGCTGTTGAGTGGGTGCACAGGTGCTCATGCTCTTGCACACAGTGGGGTTTTGGGAGGGTGTGATGCTGCAGAGAGGACTTTCATGACGCAGCTGATTCTCTTTTATTGAGAACCTTTTTTCTGGAGTCAACTGCTCTGTTTTGAATCCTGGCTTTGCGCTGTGACCTTGGACAAGTTATTTAGCCTCAGTGCCTTCGTTTCTGCATCTGTAAAAGGGGTATAATAACGCCTCCCTCATCAAACTGTTGTAGGATTAATTGGGTTAACATATGAAGAGTGTTTAAAACAGTGCCTAAGCCTAGGACACCGCCAGTGCTTTGTAAGTCTCTGGGTCCTGCTGGCTTAGGTTGCTTCTTTAGGCAGGATGACTTTTTTTTTCTTTGAGACAGGGTTTCACTTTGTTGTCCAGGCTGGAGTGCAGTGTTGCTATCTCTTCGGCTCACTGCAGCCTCAACCTCCTGGTTCAGGTGATCTTCCCACCTCAGCCTCCTGGGTAGCTGGGACTATGGGGATGTGCCACTAGGCTCCACTAATTTTCAGCTGTTGTTTTTGTTTGTGTTTTTTTTGTTTTTTAAGACAGTCACTCTTGTTGCCCAGGCTGGAGTGCAATGGCACAATCTTGGCTCACCACAACCTCTGCTTCTCGGGTTCAAGCAATTCTCCTGCCTCAGCCTCCCAAGTAGCTGGGATTACAGGCATGCACCCCCCCCACACCTGGCTAATTTTGTATTTTTAGTAGAGACAGAGTTTTTCCATGTCGGTCAGGCTGGTCTGGAACTCCTGACCTCAGGTGATCCGCCCGCCTCAGCCTCCCAAAGTCCTGGGATTACAGGCGTGAGCCGCTGCGCTCAGCCTGTTGTTGTTTTTAAGAGACAGGGTTTCACCATGTTGCCCAGGCTGGTCTCAAACTCCTGGGCTCAAGCGACCCACCTTCCTTGGCCTTCCAAAGTGCTGGGTTTATAGGTGTGAGCCACCACTCCCGGCCAGGATGCCTTTTTTTTTTTTAATCTTCTCTGCTGTGTCTCTAGAAGACGACTTTTTGAGAAGCAAACCTGAGTGTTGATTCAAGCCCAAATTTCCTTGGCTCATGTGTTATTTTTTTAGGTCTTTGGAACCTCTTTGTCGAGGTCCCAAGCAGGTAGAAGACATTAATAATAATTCCATATATTTGATTGCACGGTGCTCTGTAGTTGACTGAGTACTTACTGTATACGTACAGATAGGCCCTTATTTGATCTTCACAGGAACCTGGGAGGTAGGCAGAGTTTATGAGCTTCATTTCCTAGGTAGGAAGACTCCTACATGGTTAGGTAGCCTACTCCAGGTGTGATCCCAGGTGCGATCCAGCTCAACAAGCACACTGAGAGCCTCATGAGCTCTTGGGATCAGAACCCAGCACTCCTGATCCCACTCCGTGCCACCTTCTCACCCACCCCTCTTCCACCAAGTGGGTGGAAATAGCACTTGCTTTGAAATAAATAAAGAATGATCTTTGTGAAAAGCAACCTAAACAGCAATGGGTCATCTTTATTCACATCTATAGTACCAAGTGTTGAGTAAGGGGATCTTAGACTCCAGACACCCGTCCTTTTTGTCAGGCCAGAGCTGCAGTGTGTTGATCGCAGGTCTGTGTCTGTCACCCCTGCTTCTGTGGGTAACCAGCCAGAGTGCCCCTGAGGCCAATCCCTGGAGAGTTCTGCGAGGTCTAGGGAGGAGTTCTTTGTATTTAAACTTTCATGTAAACCTCAGCAGTTTCCTATGCCTCTGTAGTCAGCTTTTGCCTTTTCAAACTTCAGTTAGATAGGTAATGACTTTTACTCATTAGGACTTTTTTCCGTTAGTTGGAAACCCAGAGTTGCAATACTGTTTCTTTTTTCCTTAGAATCGCCAGGTTTATGGGAATAACAATTGAGATTCTCTTTATATAAAAATAGTGGTGGAATCTTGGCACAGGGTTCGTATGTGGCTTTGTTGAAGGCTTGTCACTTCCTCATTTGTATAATTTCCCTCCTTTGTGGCCTAAACATGACTTTCAAAGAGTCAAGAGGAGTTAAGTCGTAATTTTTATTTTAGAACATCTGAAAAATGAATTCAAAGAAAAGTGATATTGATGCCTTGAATTTCCCTGCCCATACGAATCCCAATCTCCTGCTGACTTTTTCTCTCGTGTTTTAGGTCTTCAGGGACTGTTGTGGGATTTGTATTTTGATACTGAGGGACCAACACAGACTGACTTAGCTTCTTGCCTGTGTGCAGGTCGTGTGCCACTGTCACTGAAGAGAATTTCATATTGTGACTTCTGTTCAGATTTTTTTTTTTATGGCTTTTCCATCAGGGTTCTTGGGAGCCATAGCTGCTTCTTGATGTCTTCTGTTTCCCTGTAGAACAGACGATTGCAAGCCCGGGGCCCTGGCGAGCTGGGCCCTCTGTGGCTTTCTGAGTCCATCGTGAGGCAGAGGATCGGGTGTGTTTTGGGCAGCAGCCTTCAGAGCAAGGCACTGACCTGATGATTCACACTGACCCCTCCCCTCCGCTGAATTTTCTGACAACCTTGTGACTCTCACATGGGAAATATGAGTGGCTTTTGAGAAACCTTTACGTAAGAGGTTTTAAAATTTCTTTCGAGATTGCTTTGGTGTTTTTCCTTAAAGTTAGCACATTCTTTGCTTTCTACTTCAATCTTGGACAGGAAGTTCATTCTTGTTCTTTACATTGGGGTGTTGATGTTTGTGGTTTTGTTGTTTTGTTCTTCATGTTACTCATGATGTATTGATATTAATTAACCTAAATACGTATGGAAATATTCTTTCATTACTTCGAGCTTATATAGTTTCTGGTGCAGATGTGCAAAAATGGTGCTTTAGTAATTGCTACGTCACTATCTTGCTTTTCTCTTTACTGTGATTCTGAGTGTTTCTTACATGGAACTATAGCTTCCTCTTATCAACAAATAAACAGGAAATAGAAATTATGTAAATAAACAATTACCATTACCTACTTCACTGACTTGACAAATAGGCATTTGGTCTACTTTAATTAATATTTTTCAAAATGTTAAGGTGCCTGTTGCTGTTACTTCATTTTGCAGGTAGCATTGGAAGTTTCTGTGATCGTACTCAAGTGGGCACTTTTTGTTGAAATGTACCATTGAGACTCTGGTAACACTGAAATTTGTGTTGACTTTCTGTAGGTGTTTTCACAGTCCTGTGTTTGGTATGGAGAGTGTGGAATTGCATATGGGGACAAGAGGTACAATTGCGAATATTTTGGCCCACCAAAACCATTACCAAAGGATGGGTATGACTTAGTGCAGGTAAGTTCATTATCTTAGGTATTGGGAGCACAAAATGCTGATCACAAGATTCTCTGTAATTAATTATTCCTTAAATGTTATTGCAGGATGGAGGTAGAGGCGAGACTAATAGGCTTAAGTTTTACCCCAAACTCTAAAACTCTAACCTGTAGCATACAGTGGCAGAGAAAGAGCACCGAAACTCCAAAGGCTTAATTTTTCAGGGGATGACTTTATACCTCTTATAAAGTTCCCAATAGCAGGTTACTATTTAGAGACTGTCCTTGGTACTTCATACGTTGCCCTTGCAGCATCTTCACAAAATATTAGAAGTTAGCTGTTTTTGATTCCTACATTTCAGGACTCAAATGGACTCTGTTGCTAAGTGGCTTTGACATCCTCGTTCCCTGTTCATCTTACTGTTTTCTCTGTGTTCCACTGAAAGCCTGTGAATTTTGGCTGCTACCAGGATTCTGATTTCTGTTCTTTTTTTTTTTTTTTTTTTTTTTTTTTACCATGCTGTGATACACAGGGATATTAGAACTGGAAAAATCATGTGAAAAGCCTGGTTTTAGAGACTTAAAGTAATCAAAAGTCAAGTTGACATGATAACAGAGCTCCTAGGCTCACTTGTTCATTTCTTTTCTGTTTTTGAGACAGAAGGAGCCTTGCTCTTTTGTCCTAGCTGGAGACTAGAGTGCATTGGTGCAATCACGGCTCACCATAGCCTTGACCTCCTGAGCTCAAGCAATCCCTCACCTCAGGGTCCCAAGTAGCTGGGACTACAGGCACGTGCCACAACCCCTGGCTAATTTTTTAAAATTTTTTTGTGGTGATGGGATTTTACCATGTTGCCTAGGCTGGTCTCGAACTCCTAGGCTCAAGCAATCCTTCCTCCTCAGCCTTCCTAAGTACTGGGATTACAGGCATGAGCCACAGCACCTGTCCTCACTTGCTGCTTTCATCATAGTTATTAAAGGTTTCAACTGTCCCTGAAACGACTAATAGAAATAGTAAGTAGCACTCTGGTTGAATTGAATCAAACAAACCAAAAACCCTAAGAAGACATAAAATGATTGTCAGGAGAGGAGAGAACGCTTCCAAATAAAAAAAAAATTAGAAACATCTCTACTACCTCTACTTGTGAATAAGTAGTAAATGTGTAGCCTTTTAAAATATTTCTATAAGAACTTTGCAAATACAGGATGTGTCTTACCCTTTTGTACTTCAAAAGGATTACATGAATGAATGTGTCTTAATTCACTGAGGAATGTTGACCTTATTTTAACTACTGCCTACTCCTGTGTCTGTGCTCTTTCACCTGAAAGGAACTCTGTCCAGGATTCTTCTTTGGCAATGTCAGTCTCTGTTGTGATGTTCAGCAGCTTCAGACACTAAAAGACAATTTGCAGCTGCCTCTACAGTTTCTATCCAGGTAGGTTCTGCTGGGGAAACAGAACAACTGGGCTGTAGATACTTGTGAACTGGTAATACTCAGCTTTCCATGTATTCTTTGTTTGTTTGTTTACATGTTTGTATTTATATATTATATGTCTGTTATATGAATATATTATATGTTTATACATAAATGTATACATTTAAAATAGGTGGATATATATTTAAATGTATATTTATATATTAAAAATACATATATGTATAATATGTATACGTGTGTGTGTGTATAATGGAGACAGAGTCTCACTGTGCTGCCCAGGCTAGAGTGCAGTGGTTTGTGGCGTGATCACAGCTCACTGCAGCTTAAACCTCCTAGGCTCCAGTGATTGTTCTGCCTTAGCCTCCTGTGTGGCTAGGACTATAGGCATGCACTACCCTCTCCAGCTAATTTTATTTATATTTTTCTTTATTAATTTTTTTTTTTTTTGAGACAGACTTGCTCTGTCACCGAGGCTGGAGTACAGTGGCATGATCTCAGCTTGCTGCAACCTCCTCCTCCCGGGTTCAAGTGATTCTCCTGCCTCAGCCTCCCGAGCAGCTGGGACTACAGGCACATGCCACCACACCCAGCTAAGTTTTATATTTTTAGTAGAGGCGGGGTTTCACCATGTTGGCCAGGCTGGTCTCAAACTCCTGACCTCAAGTCATCCACCTGCCTCGGCCTCCCAGAGTGCTGGGATTACAGGCATGAGCCACTGCACCTAACCTAATTTTTATTCTTTTTCTAGAGATGAGTGTCTCACTATGTTGGCCAGGCCTGGTCTCAAATGATCCTCCCACCTTAGCCTCCTAGAGTGCTGGATTATAGGTGTGAACCACAGTGCCCAGCCAATTTTTTTTTTAAGTCTCTTTTTGTTTTATTTTAAGAAAGCACTCTTACAATTTGTCAGAAATAAAGAGAAAAACAATAATTATCAGACTTGGTTCACTTCCCAGTTGCATTCAGAGTTGATGCTTGGTTTCCTCTGTGATGTTTCACTCTGCAGGGTGTCTGCACTATGGCCAGGCTCCTTTCGAACTTGAGCTGTGCACTGTGGGGAAGAGAGGTTCCTAGGGGTCCTGCTCAGGTGCCTGGCCTGAGACTCCCATCAAGCAGTCCTTCCTCTCCCCCCATGCCTTGCTCTGCACATCATTCTCGTCTCTCCCTCTGGTGAAGGGGTGTGATAGAGTCAGGGCTTCAGTAGAGCTGGCCTTGGGGAACTGTTAACAAGCTTGTTCTGGTGTAGCTGGCTGGTTTTGTCAAACTTAGTTTTCTATCTGATCTGTTGGCTATGGCCCTGAGCAGTGAAAAAGGGCTTGGTAATAGATGTTCTTCTCTAGGCCTAGCCAGCAATTCTCAAATATGCAAAAGAGCAAGCTGCTGGTGGTCTTTAGAACAGCAGATTGTGGTATCTTTCTAAATTTTTCAGACTTCAGCACACTGGTAAAGATGTTTGGGAAGCAAATATTGAAAAGGGAAAATGCTTCTCTGTGCAAATATCACTGCAGGTGGTGATAGGGCACAAGTTGGCTTCCAATGAAGAAATTCTGCTTATTACCAGAAGTTGACCATAGAGAATGGAAAACCACCACTAAATTGTTTTTTCAGAACAACAAAAGTTGAGACTATAGTTGGGCCAGCGTATCCTATGAAAGGCTTATGGACATTGATGGAACCAAATTGGAGCCTTGTACACTCAGTCAAAACACATTTATTTAGGATCCACCCTAGGTGAGACGTTATGGACATAGGGACATAAACGTAAAAAGATAGCCAACCCTTTCTCCATATTATGAGAGGCACCAAGGCTTGTATCAGAAACAACCTGGTATTTGGAAAAATACACAGCTGTCAAAATTAGTGATTGTGGGCATTAAATGTAGTAACATGGAAAAAGTTTGAAAACTATACACCCCAAGAGTGATTCCTATTAGAATAATGTAATTGTAGTTTCTGGCTTTGTTGCAGTAAAGCAGTGGGGCTCCTGAAAGAGAGAGAGTCTGTGCTTCCCTATCTCCTTCACTAAAACAGAGGCTCTTGAAGGCCAGGATACACTTTTTTCGTTCTTTGTCTTACGTGGTCACTGGGACTGGATCAGAGTATAAAGTAATCTTGATTGCAAGAATGCAAGTCTAATGAAACAACAGCTTTTGCAAGTAACAGTGGACCAAGGGGAAAGAGAGCTCAGGCAGCTTACGGTTCTTGTGCAGTTGTGTGCTCCTGAAGCACATGCAACCAGAGAACAACATTGCTGTTCTCTGTCTTTACAAACCATGGGGATTTCTCCTTGTGTTTCCGGAGGGCCTAGTGATTTTCTGGAGCTTGAAAGAAAACCTTCAATAGGTTGTAAGATGAAGATTCTCATGATAATTCTCATTATTTTATTTTATTTTATTTTATTTTCTTCTTAATCAAAACTGTCAGCTGGTGCAGTGGCTCATGTCGATAATCCCAGCACTTTGGGAGGCCAAGGCAGGAGGGTTGTTTGAGTTTAGGAGTTTGAGACCATCCTGGGCAACACAGTGAGACCCACACCTCTACAAAAAATTTTTTTTAATTAGCCAGGTGTGGTGGTGTATACCTGTAGTCCTAGCTACTTGGGAGGCTGAGGTGGGAGGATTGCTTGAGCCTGGGAGCTCAAGGTTACAGTGAGCTGTGATCACGCCACTGCACTCAGCCTGGGCGACAAAGCAAGACCCTTTCTCAAAAAACAATAATAATAATAATAATAATAATTCCTGATGCTCCAAAGTCCTTTTACTCTAGGTCAGAGAAGGTATGTCTCTAAATTATAAAGTGCAGAATTCAGAGAAGCATCTCTTTCTTTTTGAAATTATAATTGGACACAATAAATACAGAAAGTAATTAGGGCATTTTTTAAAGGTGTGCCTTTATTTTAACATGAGATTTTAAGTTTAGTATTGCTGATTTTTAATATGTTCTCTTGGTAATTTGTCACTTTACAGTAAGTTTAAAATATTCTTTGTCTATTTAAAATCGTTCCCGTTGGCCCTATTACGTGTGAGATCATGCAGAATATAATTTACTTTTCCTTTAGATGTCCATCCTGTTTTTATAACCTACTGAACCTGTTTTGTGAGCTGACATGTAGCCCTCGACAGAGTCAGTTTTTGAATGTTACAGCAACTGAAGATTATGTTGATCCTGTTACAAACCAGACGAAAACAAATGTGAAAGAGTTACAGTACTTTGTCGGACAGAGTTTTGCCAATGGTAAGTAAACTTTTAATTATTCCTCTTTTACAGCTGGCATCAGGACAGCAGAGCAAATTGTTCCTTTTAGTTGTCCTGTCAACCCTGTGGAAAATCACAATTTTCAGTTCCATTGGCCAGGAAATAAAGTTGTTGCTTTGCTAGTATCCTAGGACTTGAACTACAACGAATATAACAATCTCCTTAAAGCGCTTGCTTTAACTCCCCCTAACTTTAACTTCCCACATGGAAAATTTTAGTATGTGCAAGTTTGCATCCATACACTTCAGTAACCATTGGATCTTTGATTCTAACAGACGTGAGTTGTGTAATGTCATAAATTACTGCAAGACTGAGAAGATAGAACTATTAATGGTTGGCAGAGAAGAGGTCATGACTCGGAAGAATCAGATCACCATAAAGGAAAGTCAGCAGGTCTAACAGATAGCAGAAATGATCCCCCAGCATTGACCAGCATACAACATTTAATTATAATGACAGTTAAAAAGGTAACAAAAAATTCCTTAGAAAAAAGGTCTCATTCACAAAAGCAGCAAAAAATAAGGCACTTAGGAATCCAAAAGATGTGACATACAAGGCAACCTGACTGAATGGAGAGAGGTCATTTTGTCCAGAAACAGAAGCCCGCATGTATGGAAAATGGATATGTAACACGTGTGTCATTACAAATCATTGAGAGAAAAGGTGGACTAGTTGATAAATGGGATCAGAAAATAGATTATATTTATCTAATTTTAATTTTTACAGATAATAAAAAATCAATTATACAGATTAAAAATCCCAGTTGGAAAGTTTTAGAAGTAAATATAGAATATCTTTATGACTTTAAGATAAAGGAAAGATTTCTAGACAGAAGAGGAAAAGCAGAAACCATAAGGAAAATATTTATGAATATAAACAACTGTTATCTGGAGCAGTCAGCGAAATGCAAATTTAAACAGTAAACTACAATTTCACACCTCATCAGCTTGGCACAAATTAAAAAGTTGGTCAATTTCAACTATGGATGAAAATGTGAAGCAATAAGAATACTAATATACTCCACCACTTATAACCATAATTTGGTATAATTGTTTGAAAACCATTTGAAAAACAACTGTGATATGTAGTAAAGTTGAAGATAACCCTCCTCCCAGAAATTGCACTTGTAGATGCCTGCCTTAGAGAAACTCTAAATGCATATAAACCTGGAGACCCATATAAGAACACCCACTGTAACATTATTGTGATTGTGAAAAATTGAAGACCTCAAGAGAATGAGAAGACATGACACAGACTGGAAGAAAGTATTTGCAAAAGACATGTATTAGTAAGGACTATTATTCAAAATATACAAATAACTTCTAAAACTCAACAAGAAGAAAGCAAACAGCCCAACTGAAAGATGGACAAAACAACCTGAACAGATACCTCACCAAAGAAGGCATACAGGTGGTAAATAAGTACATGAGAAGAGATGCTCAACATTATGTCATTAGAGAATTACAAATTAAAACAACCAGATACCACTACACATCTATTAGAATGGCCAAAATTCAAAACACTTGCAACACCAAATGCTGGCAATGAACTCTCATTCATTGATGGTGGGAGTACAACATGGTACAGCCACCTTGGAAGATAGTTTAGCAGTTTCTTACAAAACTAATCATACTCCTTGGTATTTACCCAAATGAGTTAAAAATATGTCTACCCCAAAACCTGCACATGGATGTTTATAGCAGCTTTGTCCATAAGTGCCAAAACTTGGAAGCCACCAAGATTTCCCTCAGTAGGTGAATGGGTAAATAAACTGCCACATCCACACAATGGAATATTATTCAGTGCTAAAAAGCCATGAAAATTCAGTGCTATCAAGCTATGAAAGTACATGGACAAACCTTAAATCCTATTACTAAGGAAAGCCAGTCGGAAAAGGCTACTTACTATATGACGTTCTAGAAAAGGCAAAACCGTGGAGACAGTAAAAAGTCAGTGATTGCCATGGGTTAGGAAAGAGGAAGGCATAAGTAGAGCACAGAAGATTTTTAGGTGGTGAAAATACTCTGTATGATAACTGTAATGGTGGTTACATGCTTATATGACATTTTAAAACAAAAGTACTACCTACTTTAAAACATACAAGTACACAATATGCATGGGAAGGATAAACATCAAATTCAGGATTGTGTTTACCTTAGGGAAGGGACTACTGTCAGGGAGGGGCAATTGGGGAGCTTCAACTGAATCTATAGAGTGTATGTGTGTGTTTAAGTATTTCTTTATTTTTTTGAAGAGACGGGCCTCACTGTGTTGCTAAGGCTGATCTTGAACTCCTGGCCTTAAGTGATCCTCGTACCTCAGCCTCCCAGTGTTGGGACTGTAGGTGTGAGCCACCACACCTGGCCTATAGTGCATTATTATTTGTATTTATTTTTTAAATTATGCCATAGCCAGTTGTTCTGAATAGTGCATTATTATAAAACAGAGTCAAGGTCTCATGCTGTCACCTAGGCTGGAATACAGTGACGCAGTTGTGGCTCACTGCAGCCCCAACATCCTAAGTTCAAGCAGTCCTCCTGAGTAGTTGGAACCACAGGCATATGCTACCACACCTGGCTAATTAAAAAATATTTTTTTTGTAGAGATAGGGTCTTGCTTTTTTGCCCAGGCTGGCTTCAAACTCTTGGCCTCAAGTGATCCTCCCACTCAGCCTCCCAAAATGCTGGAATTACAGGTGTGAGTCACTGCACCTGGCCAAGTCCATTATTTTTTTAATGTTGAGGCAAATGTTGTAAAATGATAAGACTGATAATTAACTGGGTAATGAGGAATTGAGAACTGTATTATTCTCCGTGTTTTTTTTGTATGCTTGAAATATAAAATAAAACCTGAAAACCAAATGGTGAGCTGGAAGATATGAGGGAATTACCCAGAAAACAGCATAGAGAAAGAAAGATCTATAAATCATTAAAGAAATGACATATAGGATAACATGAGAAGCTCCAGAGAGTTGGGGAGAGACAATCAAAGGGATAATGAGGATTTTCCAGAATGGATAAGGGATGAACCCTGAGACTTTGAGAAAATTCAGTATACAAAAATCAGTACAAGTGCACAGTATTTCTGTACACTTACAGTGGACTGTCTCAAAGTGAAAATAAAACAATTCCATTTACTATAGTATGGGAAATAGTAGTAACTGTAACAGAAGGCAAAACACTTTAAAACTAAAGAACAGCCGAATGCGGTGGCTCACACCTGTAATCCCAGCACTTTGGAAGGCTGAGGCGGGCAGATCACAAGGTCAAGAGATTGAGACCATCCTGGCCAACATGGTGAAACCCCATCTCTACTAAAAATACAAAAATTAACTGGGCATGGTGATGCTCGCTTGTAATCCCAGCTACTTGGGAGGCTGAGGCATGAGAATCACTTGAACCTTGGAGGCGGTGATTGCAGGAGCCGAAATCATGCCACTGCACTCCAGCCTGGCTGACAGAGTGAGACTGCATCTCAAAAATAAAAAAAAACTAAAACTAAAGAACATTATTCAGAGAAATTAAAGAGGATCTAAATAAATGAAAAGACATTCCATGTTAATCAAAAGACTTAATATTGTTTAGATATCAGTATTCTCCAAGTTGTTTTGAGATTCAGGGCAATCTCTGTTGTAATCCCAACTGACTTCTTTGTAGAAATTGACAAGCTGATTCTGAAATTCACGTAGTAGTTTGAGGGACTTAGAATAGTAAAACAACCTTGAAAAAAAAATAGGAAGACTCACGCTTCTCAATTTCAAAACTAAGCAATGGAAATCAAGACATTGTGGTATTGGAATAAAGATAGACATATAGATCAATGGAATATAACTGAGAATAAATAATATATCTATGGTCAACTGATTTTTGACAAGGGTGCCAAGGCCATTCAATGAGAAAAGAATACTCTTCATCAAATGGTGCAGCAATAACTGGATACACACATTCAAAAAAAAAAAAATAATGAAATTGGGCCCTACCTCACACCATATGTTAAAGAAATTAACTCAAAGCAGATCAAAGACCTAAATGTAAGAGCTAAAAACTATAAAACAGAGTAAAACATAGGGATTAATTTGCATGGCCTCATATTTGGCACTTGATTCTTAAATATGACACCAAAACAAGAGCAACAACAACAAAAAGATTAATTGGACTTCATTAAAATAAAAAAGTTTGTATTTCAGAGGACACCATCAAGAAAAGACAAGAAGGCCAGGCACAGTGACTCACACCTATTATCCCAGCATTTTGGGAGGCTGAGGCAGGAGGATTGCTTGAGCCTGCGAGTTCAAGACCAGCCTGGGTGACAAAGTGAGACCTGTGTCTACAAAACATAATTAGCCAGGCATGGTGGCATGTGCCTGTGGTCCCAGCCACATGGGTATCTGAGGCAGGAAGATTGCTTGAGCCCGAGGAGGCTGCACTAAGTACCTCGCACTCCAGCCTAGGTGACAGAGTGAGACCCTGAGTCAAAAAAACAAAAGGACAGGAAAATATTTGCAAATTGTGTATTTGATAAGGGACTTGTATCTAGAATACATAAATAACTCTTGGCCGGGTGCGATGGCTCATGCCTGTAATCCCAGCACTTTGGGAGGCCGAGGCGGGCGGATCACCTGAGGTCAGGAGTTCGAGACCAGCCTGGCCAACATGGTGAAACCCTGTCTCTACTAAAATAGAAAAATTAGCCAGGCATGGTGATATGCACCTGTAATCCCAGCTACTCAGGAGGCTGATGCAGGAGAATTACATCAGCCTGGGAGGTGGAGGTTGCAGTGAGCTGAGATCACGCCATTACACTCCAGCCTGGGTGACAGGGCTAGACTTCATCTCGAAAAACAAAACAAAACAACTCTTACTACCCAATGATGAATAGATAAATAACCCAATTTAAAATGGCAAAAGATCTGAATAGAGCAGACATTTCTTCAAGGAAGATATACAAATGGCCAACAAGTACATGAGAGATGTTCAACACTATGAGTCATCAGGGAAATACAAATCAAAACCACAATGAGATACCACTTCACACCCACCAGGATGGCTAGCATCAAAGTCAGATAACAAGAAGTGTTGACAAGGCTGTGGAGAAATAGGAACCTTTATTAAAAAGAAATCCCAAAACCAAAAACATTAGCTGGACACAGTGGCTCATGCCTATAATCCAGCACTTTGGAAGGCCGAGGCAGGTGGATCACCTGAGGTCAGGAGTTTGAGACCAGCCTGGGCAGCATGGTGAAACCCTATCTCTACAAAAACTTAGCTGAGTATGGTGGTGCACATCTATAGTCCCAGCTACTTGAGAGGCTGAGGTGGGAGGATCACTTGAGCCTGAGGGGCGGAGGTTGCCAGTGAGCTGAGATCACACCACTGCACTCCAATCTGTGTGACAGAGTGAGACCCCATCTCAAAAAGAAAAAGCATTGCTGGTGATGATGTAAAGTGGTATAGCCACTTTGCAAAAACAGTTTGGCAGTTCCTGAAACAAACATAGAATTACCATATGATACATCAATTCCACTCAAAAGATGAAAACATAGGTCAACACAGAAACTTATACACAAATGCTTCTAGCAGCATCACTGATAATAGCGAAAATGTGGAAACAACTCAGATATTTATCAGCTGATATATGGATAAACAAAACATATGTCTATACAATGAAATGTTGTTTGGCCATAAAAAGAAATGAAGTATTGATACATGCCACAGTATGCATGAACCTTGAGATCATTATGCTAAATGAAAGAAGCTGGTCATAAAAGACCACATATTATATGATTGGATTTACGTGAAATGTCTGAAATAGTCAAATAAATAGAGACAGTTCAGTGGTTGCTTAGGGCTTAGGGAGGTGAGGAGGTAGTTGAGCATAGCTAGAATACAGGATTTCTTTTGAGGTGATGAAAATGTTCTAAAATTGACTATGGTTATGGTTGCATATATCTATGAATATGCTAAACTCCATTAAATTACATAGTTTAAGGGGGTAAATTGTAAATTACATGTGATTATATTGTAAATTATATTGCGCCACCACACCTGGCTAATTTTTTTTTTTTTTTTTAATTTTTTGTAGAGACGGGGTTTTGCCATTTTGCCCAGGCTGGTCTGGACCTCCTGAGCTCAGGCAGTCCACCCACCAGGGCCTCCCAAATTACTGGGATTACAGGTGTGCATGACCACCCCCAGCCCAAAGACAAATATCTTAAAAGCAAATAGAGTCAAGACACAAATCACCTTAAGACAATGATAATTGGAGATTTTCTTACCAGCTGTGATAGAGCCCAGAAGGCAATGGAATAATCTATTGAGAATTCTGAGGGAGATAACTGTCACCCTAGTTAACCTGTCTTTCCAGAGCAAGGGTAAAACAAAATGAATGCGTAAGCATCTCCTTGAAGATTAGGGAAAGAAGATCCTGGGAAGTTTCTAGCAAGCAGGGACGGGTAAATGAGAATCGACAGACCCATTCCAGCTATTTTCTTAGGTGTAAAACACTGATACTCTCCTTATATAATGTGTTGTCTTTATGTATAATAAAATATTATCCAAAAAGTTAACAGTATTAGGTTTTTGGGGTTTTTTTTAATTTATTTTTTTTGAGATGGAGTCTTGCTCTGTTGCCCAGGCTGGAGCGCAGTGGCGCGATTTCAGCTCATTCCAAGCTCTGCCTCCCGGGTTCATGCCAGCCTCCCAAGTAGCTGGGACTACAGGCGCCCGCCACCACACCTGGCTAATTTTTTTGTATTTTTAGTAGAGATGGGGTTTCACTGTGTTAGCCAGGATGGTCTCGATCTCCCGACCGCATGATCCGCCTGCCTCGGCCTCCCAAAGTACTAGGATTACGGGCATGAGCCCCCACGCCCGGCCAACAGTATTAGGTTTATTGACATGTGACCTCTGCCCTGAAACCAGTTTTCCAAGTAAGTTCCATAATTCTGTGGCTGTGTAGCTTCCTGCGGCAGAGGTTTTCTGGAATCAGCTTCGTTAACTGAAGAAGTACTAAGGCTCTTAGCTGCGTCTTCCTGGGCCTTGGTATGCTCTTCTATACAGTGGGGATACAACTCCAGGCTGTTGTGAGAGCTGTGAGACAACGTGTGCCTTTCCTTTTCCTGTTTTTACTTTTGAGTTCCTCGGAATCAGGCCTCCATATTATTTGCAGGGTGATAAGCCAATTTAAAGGGAATCTCTGTTCGTGCCCTTAGTGTTTGCTGTCCAGCGTTCCAGCATGGTGCGTATGGAGTTCGTGTTTCCCTTCAAGAAGCCTTTGTAAGATCTTTCCTCGTGAATTACAGCAAGCATCTTTTCTCCTTTTTCCTTTGGGTTTCTTCTTCTAGCGATGTACAATGCCTGCCGGGACGTGGAGGCCCCCTCGAGTAATGACAAGGCCCTGGGACTCCTGTGTGGGAAGGACGCTGATGCCTGTAATGCCACCAACTGGATTGAATACATGTTCAATAAGGACAACGGACAGGCACCTTTTACCATCACTCCCGTGTTTTCAGGTAGGGATAAAGATTCCAAGTTTGGTGTGTTTATGATATTGTTTTAAAGCCAAGGAACTGGCTGGGCACAGTGGCTCACCAGTGCTTCGGGAGACTGAGGCAAGAGAATTGCTTAAGACCAGGAGTTCCAAACCTAGCCTGGGCAATGTAGTGAGGCCCCATCTCTACAGAAGAATTAAACATTAGCCAGGTGTGGTGGCATGCACCTGTAGTCCCAGATACTTGGGAGGCTGAGGCAGGATTGCTTGGGTCCAGGAATTCAAGGCTGCAGTGAGTTATGATCATCCCATTGTCCTCCAGCCTTGGTGAGGGCAAAGCCCTCTCTCTCCATGAATGGATGAATGAATCTCAGTTGAGGAATCATAATCTGCAATAGGAAGATAAACACATTCAGGTAACTAGTTCATAGTTTCTCCCAGTAAGAGAGGTAACTGATACATTATATTGCTCTGGCTAATTTAGTGGGTGCTGGGAGTGGGAATGGAGGAGGAAATGAATTGCCTTCAGGCATTGCTGTGGTAATTGAAAGAATAAGCAGTTAAAAAGGGGGTGGGAGGCAGTTTTTCCAGAGCTCTGCTGTAGTATTAGCTTCTGAGAATGGAGATAGGACATGACTGAGGGTTACCTTGGTATGTGGTGTACTTGGAGGATTGCTCTATCAGTGACAAACCCCTATGCACAGGTTTATTGAGGCAACTTAAAATTCCACAGGATGAAGCAGCAAAACATAATTTAATTAAACTAAAACCTCCAATTCTTTTTCTTCTTTCAGTTGTTTTATGTATTTCAGTGGGCTTTTCGTTGGGTTTAAGTATAATACAAAATTTTGGATGTTTTTAATTGAGATTTGTACTCAACACAATTCCTTCCTGTAGATTTTCCAGTCCATGGGATGGAGCCCATGAATAATGCTACCAAAGGCTGTGATGAGTCTGTGGATGAAGTCACAGCACCGTGTAGCTGCCAAGACTGCTCTATTGTCTGTGGCCCCAAGCCCCAGCCCCCGCCGCCTCCTGCTCCCTGGACAATCCTCGGCTTGGACGCCATGTATGTCATCATGTGGATCACCTACATGGTATTTTTGCTTGTGTTTTTTGGAGCATTTTTTGCAGTGTGGTGCTACAGGTAAGCAGTTTTGTTTATCATCCAGGGCAAGAAGAGCAAAATTGCCCACTGGCACTTTGAGTTTTCACTTGTCAGACCTTGGTTACTTAGGACAAGAATCAAATACCTACATGAATACCACTGCATGGATTACTGTGTTCTACAGCTATTATATAGTAAACCATCAAAGTCCTGTTTAACACTGCAACATCAGAAGTGAATTTTACTGATTTATGCAAAATGATGTGTGATTTAAAGCACTGTGCATTAGCCACTCATTCTTTTTTTTTTTTTGGCACTGAGTTTCACTTTTGTTACCCAGGCTGAAGTGCAATGGCGTGATCTCAGCTCACTGCAACCTCCACCTCCTAGGTTCAAGCGATTCTCCTGCCTCAGCCTCCTGAGATAGCTGGGATTACAGGCACCCACCACCATGCCTGGCTAATTTTTGTATTTTTAGTAGAGATGGGGTTTCACCGTGTTGGCCAGGCTGATCTCCAACTCCTGACCTCAGGTGATCTGCCCACCTTGGCCTCCCAAAGTGATGGGATTACAGGCATGAGCCTCTGCGTCCAGCCAGCCACTCATTCTTTAGAAAGTCAGAATAAAGGCTGGGCACGGGGGCTCACGCCTGTAATCCCAGCATTTTAGGAGGCCAAGGCAGGAGGATCACAAGGTCAGGAGTCCATTGCACTCCAGCCCTGGCGACAGTGCAAGACTCTGTCTCAAAAAAAAAAAAAAAAAAAGATGTCAGAGTCAAATGAGCGAAATCAGATTCAAATCTAATTAAATGCAGTACTATAGTCCTTTTAGATATTTGCATCTTAATTTAGGACAGTACTTTTTTTACTTTTTATTTTGAAATAATTTTAGACTTAACCAAAAAGTTGCAAAAATGGTAGAATTTGTGTATATCCTTTACCCAGTTTCCCCGATGATACAACTTACATAATTCCTAGTACAATGATCAAAACCATGAACATGCCATTATTATTACATTATTATTAGCTAAACCGCAGATTTTAATCCAATTTCACCAGCTTTTCCTCCAATTCCCTTTCCTGTTTCAGGGTCCCATATTACATTTTTGTGTTTTATGAGTCCCCTCAATCTGTGACAGAAAGTTCCTCCGTCTTTCCTTTTCTGGCCTTGACACTCTTGATGATACTGGTCAGGTATTTTGTAGCATGTCCTTCTGTTTGGCTTTATCTGGTATTTTCTCATGATGAGATTGAAATGAGGTGTTTTGACAAGTACATCACAGAAGTCACATCATGTCTTTCTCGGTGCATCATGTCGGGGTCCCTGATGTTGATGTGTCTCTTTCCTGGTGATGTTAACCTTGAACACTTGCTCAAGGTGATATCTGCTGGATAGCTCCACTGTGAAGTTACTGCTTTTCCCTTCGTAATTGATAAATATCTTGGAGGAAGATGCTTTGAGACTATGCTAGTATTTTGTTCCTCCTCAAACTGTCAACCACTGATTTTAGCATTCATTGTTGGGTCTTGTCTGCAACAATTATAACTAAGGTGTTTACCTAATGGTGATATTTTTTCTCTTTCCCTCTCTTCCTCTGCATTTACTAACTGGACTTCTGTACAGAAAGCTATCCCTTCTCCCTCATTTATTTACTCAGTTATTTACATCATGGACTTTCAATTCTGTTGGTTGTATCCAACACTGTCATTTATCTTGTTACTCAAAGTTTTCCAGTTTGGGCCATTGGGAGTGGCTTCTGGCTGACTTCTGTGTTCTTCTTTTTGAGACAGAGTGTCGCTCTCACCCAGGCTGGAGTGCAGTGGCGTGATCTCAGCTCACTGCCAGCTCCGCCTCCTGGGTTCACGCCATTCTCCTGCCTCAGCCTCCCGAGTAGCTGGGACCACAGGCGCCTAGCTAATTTTTTGTATTTTTAGTAGAGACAGGGTTTCACCATGTTAGCCAGGATGGTCTCGATCTCTTGACCTCGTGATCTGCCCACCTTGGCCACCCAAAGTGCTGGGATTACAGGCGTGAGCCGCTGCGCCCGGCCCGGTAGCGTGTTCTTAAAAGACCTAAAAGTTTTAAATAAAATGAGGGCCACAAGGTGAAATTATCCTTTATTAACTGTTCTTTTAATATCTTCTTAAGTTTTCTCCTGAGACTGGTGAACAGAGGCACCCAGAGCAAGGAAACTTAGGGGAAAGAAGGCAGTAATTAGGGAGGAGGAGGCAAGGAGGAGGAAGAAAGCATTTCATGGGATTACAGGAATGTCCCAACAACAGCCTCATTGTGATGAAGTCCACTAATACTATTTCCTCTCTTCTGTTTTTCAGAAAACGGTATTTTGTCTCCGAGTACACTCCCATCGATAGCAATATAGCTTTTTCTGTTAATGCAAGTGACAAAGGTAGGCATATTTGTCCATGAATAAAAGGGTTCAGATGATGCTGTCTGTCATGAGAGTATTCGTTTGCTCAGCGGGGTTGCGACAGTGGGTGAGGCGGAGTGCTAGTGCCAAGGACACGGCTGCGACCAAGGCAGACGTAGTCCTTGCCTTTGTGGCCCTACCATCTAGTCAGGGTGGCACAGCAGAACCGAGTAATTAATCATAGCTGGGGAGGCGCGAAAGCAGCAGGACAAGAGTGGGAATAGCAGGGCAGGGTTGAACCTCATCCTTCAGAGGCTCCTGTGTCGGTGTCTCATCTGTGGGGTGGGAACAGCGCTCATTGAGGGCAGCCAATAAAGGTGACTTTGCTGAGCAGATAGATAGCTGAGGGCAGGGGTCTCCTATGTGTCCCCAGGTGGGCTTGATTCCTGCCATGAGACAGCAGCTAATGCTTTCCCTGTTCCGACTTTCAGGAATGGCTTGGCTCTTAACCTCCACCCTCCCTTCCTCTCCCGCTCTTCCAGGAGAGGCGTCCTGCTGCGACCCTGTCAGTGCAGCCTTTGAGGGCTGCTTGAGGCGGCTGTTCACACGCTGGGGGTCTTTCTGCGTCCGAAACCCTGGTTGTGTCATTTTCTTCTCGCTGGTCTTCATTGCTGTGTGTTCGTCGGGCCTGGTGTTTGTCCGGGTCACAACCAATCCGATTGACCTCTGGTCAGCGCCCAGCAGCCAGGCTCGCCTGGAGAAAGAGTACTTTGACCAGCACTTTGGGCCTTTCTTCCGGACAGAGCAGCTCATCATCCGGGCCCCTCTCACTGACAAACACACTTACCAGCCGTACCCTTCGGGAGCCGATGTACCCTTTGGACCTCCGCTTGACATACAGATACTGCACCAGGTAACCTGCTGTTTGAAGAAATAAGTCACTCCAGGGGACCTTGTGGTTTGCTGGCTTTTACATGTTGACTACTGCTGGATGGGGATTTGGGGCTGAATGTCATGGTATATCTTGAAAATTTTAGCATATAATGGCAAAGCTGCCTTTAAGTTAGGTTAAAAGAAAGTGAATGATGTAGAACTTAATGAAATATTTATTGCTGCTCACTTTTGTATTTACTTCAGATAGTAGATCTTGCCTTTCTCTTGAAATTGAGATGAGCAGAGAAAGAAGACTTCAGTGGCATTTGTCTATTGAGGCAGGATGTATTTATTAGGATGTCACCTTAGGAATTTGCGAATGTTTTCTGGTGGTAACTGAAAGTAATATGCAAGGACCCAGAGGCATGAAGCCCTTACTGCTGTCCTGGGGGCTGAGGAAGGAGCTGCCAGGTCACCATCCCTGATCCAACCTGTAGGAATGAACTTATCACTGCCTGAACGTGGGCACCCAGCCTGTTTTTGGTGAGAGGTGCATTTGGGGCAAGATCCATCCTGTTGCTCCTAGAAAGGCGTGTAAACCTTCCCATTGTCCCTGTCACACTTGCCTTGGAGAACTGTACCTGTGCATAAACTATACCCGCTTCTTTTTTAATGAATGTATAATCACATGGTTTTTCCTTTAAACATTGCTCATGTCTACAAGAAAATCTGAAATCTTGAAAAGCATTAAAATGGTCCTAAGACTTGGATAGAATCTTTTCTCTACCCGGTGACTGTCTGTTGCTTTTTCCAGCTTGTTGCTGAAGGTGAACAGCATAGTCATTTACCTCCAAGATCATCTTCTATGTTAGGAAATAAGGGGACATATGTAAATGGCTGTAGTGCAGAGCAAGGCAGGAGGTTTTGTGTTATTATTGAGGGGAGGGTCAGGGAGACCAGGAGACCCCTCCGCTCTCCCCTCTGGCCTGCTGGCCACCGCTGGAGCAGGGTAGAGGGAGATGGTTGTGTGTCCTATGTTGATAGCTGTTCTGGTCATGGTGTCCCCCCACCCTCTGCCGCCTCTGTGGACGCCTCTAACCGGTTTGCTGTTAGAGTGGGCCTGACCCGTTTTCTTAATGTATTGCGCCTTAATGCTCTCCCTCGTCTTAGGAAGTATTTTCCCCAAATACTCTTTGTCTTCTGACCCCTCAGGGCAATACTGACTAGTCAAGATCTGAGAGAAATGTGATGTGTTTCTGGGTTTGCTTATTTTTGAAATCTTCTTTCAGGTTCTTGACTTACAAATAGCCATCGAAAACATTACTGCCTCTTACAACAATGAGACTGTGACACTTCAGGACATCTGCTTGGCCCCGCTCTCACCATATAACACGAACTGCACCATTATGAGTGTGTTAAATTACTTCCAGAACAGCCATTCCGTGCTGGACCACAAGAAAGGGGACGACTTCTTTGTGTATGCCGATTACCACACGCACTTTCTGTACTGCGTACGGTAAGTGGCAAGAGACAGTCATTGGTAGACACCATTCTTGGGTCTGACCTAGGGTATATGGGCATAAGCTTGTTTTATGAGCATAACCCAGAGGTGAGCAAACAGAGCGAGTCCTTGCCCTGTGAAGCTTACATCTTTTTTTTTTTTCTTTTTTTTTTTTTTTTTGAGACAGGGTCTTGCTGTGTCACCCAGGCTAGAGTGCAGTGGCGCAGTCTTGGCTCACTGCAACCTCTGCTTCCGGAGTTCAAGCGATTCTCATACCTCAGCCTCCTGAGTAGTAGCTAGGACTACAGGTGTGTGCCACCACGCCCAGCTAATTTTTGTATTTTCAGTAGAGATGGGGTTTTGCCATGTTGGCCAGGCTGGTCTTGAACGCCTGACCTCAAGTGATCCCCCCCACCTCGGCCTCCCAAAGTGCTGGGATTACAGGCGTGAGCTGCCACACCCAGCCGGAAGCTTACATCTTAATGGAGGGAGACGGATGATGAACACATCACATACGCCATCATGCCAGCTAGAGATTAGTGCTGTGAGGAGAAAATTAAGGCTGGACAGAGTAGGGGTACACTGCTTAAACATGGAGATGTGCACAAAGGGAGAGGAAAGGAGGACAGCTGGGCCCATCACAGGAATGCGCGTTCCCGGCAGAACCAACAGCAAGTGCAGAACCCCGGCGGGGAGCCCTCGTGGTGCGTGATTGAGGAGTGCAGCTGCCCCTTACCCTTTACCATGTGCCTGGGTCACTAACACAGTGTCATGTGTCACACCCCCCACAAGATGTAAAGACAGAGGAGCCTTTGGTGCCTTTTCTTCTCTCTCAGATATATAGCCCGGTCCCCTGTAGTGCCGCAGCTGTTTGGGAGGCAGCCTCCCTGTGAGGAGCTGGGGCAGGACAGGCCCACAGTTCTAGATTGGAGGGCCCTGCAGCTGCTTCCCTTAGGAGGCGTGTCTAGCTGGGCAGGGTGCGTTTATAATTGGGAATTGTCACCCCAGGAAGCTGTGCTTGGGTGACCTGTGGGGGAATCTTAAGGCTTCTTCCAGTAGGGGAAGAGCAGCACGGTGCCGGATGGGCCTACTCTCCCCGAATGCTCGGGACCTGGCCTAGGGGCATTTGTTCAGCCAGTTGAGCAACCACAGGGGCTATTTCTTCAGCATGGGAACAGAGAAGTTATTCCTTGTCGCCTTTAAGGACACTTCTCAGCCAACTACTTCTCAAGAGCTAAGGACTCTCACTTCTGGTTCTAAAGAACTTTGACCTTAAGTTCTGTTTGTTTGTTACTAGAGTAAGACTTTTTATGCAGTTGGGCTATATTCACTGTGTTTCAAGAATATCACCACTAACAACGTGAGTTATGCTCAGGAAAACGCAATAGCTTATGCTCCATACCCTAAACCGGCTTTCTCCACAGGGTAGATGGTACAGGCTACCTGGAAAAAAAAAAAAAGTTTAATGTTACATAATTTTGATAGTTGGATGACCATTTAATGTTACATAAATTTTATAGTTTACTCTCTGTTGCACAGATAAAAGTCAAGAAAAATGAGGGGGCGCAGAGGTGCATGAGCCTTGTGCTTCCTCAAAGTGGGCGTGGTTCCCTCCAGTATGGAAGCAGTGCAGGGAGTGGCAGGCTCCTAGCGGCAGGGACCTGAATTGGTTTGTAGTTATGCTTGTGCGCATCCTCATAACCCCAGGCCCGCCTCTAGCGCTGTCCCCTTTATCCTCTCCCTCCAGCTTTTCCTGGACTTTTTCACCTGAGGGTCCTGCAGTAACGGCAGGTGGCCTGCCCAGAACCATACGCTGACCTGCTTCTTTTCCCCATTTCGTTTAAAGGCAGTGACAGTTACCAGTTACTCAGACTTGAGGCTTTATCCCTGAATACTGTCTCGCCCTTGCCTTCCTCATGGGGTTCTTGTGGGTCTGAGCCTCTGGATGGTCTCTCAGATTTCTGCTGTGGATGAGGGGACTCAACTGCTCGCTGCAGGTCACCTGACCTCCCTCATGCCGTCACCCATCTGCTCTGACGGGCGGGTCCTGTGCAGAAGCTTCTCAGCACCTGGCCAAGTTCTAGCTGATGGTCTGTCTGGAAATGCTGGTTCCCTCTCCACTGGCCAGCTGTCTGTCTGCACTGCACTGCCAGTTGCCTCTCGCCTGGGCCATTGCACTAACATCTCCACTTACTGTTCCATCTGCTTCCTGTTTCTTTGCCATTTCCAGACCTTCTTCCACTTTACCACACGAGCTAGCTTTGTAAAACAGCTCATGACATTTCTTTCCCAGAAATCTCTCATTGTTCCCCAGTGCCTCCAGAATAAAAATCCAAACTACTTAACTGGCACTGAGTCCTTTTATTTTGCATTTGTCTGTCCATTGCTCTCCCCAGACCGGCCCCCTCCTTCAGGAGCCCCCTTGGTGGGCACCCCATGCTCTAGGACAGGACATCTTTTCTTTGAATTATTTTCTTTTTTTTTTTTAGGAGATGGGGTCTTGCTATGTTGTTCAGGCTGGACTCAAACTCCTGAGTTATAGCCATCCTTCTGCCTCAGCTTCCTGAGTAGCTGGGATTAGGCGTCCCGCCATACCTAGCATACAAGACTTGTTAAACCACCATGTTGCTCTCATTCCCTCTCACTGTTCTCTCTCCCTCCCTTTTTCCTCCCACAGTTGTAATTGTGAGACACTCTTTTGTCCTCCCTCTTTGGTGAAATCCCCTCATCCTCGGAGGTCTGGGTCTGTCCAGTCTCTTCCTCTTGGCTACAGTTTTGTCTTTTAGTGTTTGCTCCCTTCTCTGTGCCTGCGTAGCACCATGCACCATGTGCTACTGATGGCACTGGGCCGTATTTGCCTGCCTCTTGCCCAGGGATTCTGAGCTCCCAAAGGTGAGTGCTGAGCTGTATTATTCAACTGAGAAACCTCGGGGCCCATGTTGTCCTTAGAATACAGCCAGCCTCATCAAATGTTCGTTGTGTAAATGTTTAGGTCTCTGATGTCTTGAGGCCCTTCTAACTGGGAAGTGTTTTCTAAACTTTTTGACAGGGCCCCTGCCTCTCTGAATGATACAAGTTTGCTCCATGATCCTTGTCTGGGTACGTTCGGTGGACCAGTGTTCCCATGGCTTGTGTTGGGAGGCTATGATGGTAAGTAAGAGAAGCTTTGACTTTTCCTTTTAGGTAAAGTCATCTCGGTTTTGTCATTAGCGTCAAGTGGTAATTATGAAGATTTCATAAATTGGGCAGTTTTGTTAATTTCCTACCTCTTGAATCCCAAAATAGTATCTCCTTTGGCTTTGGGTTTGGGTTTCATTCCAGATTTAAAAGAAGTGGATTGTGTTAGCCATCTTTAGATCACACATGCCTTTGAGAAGCTGTCGAAGGCTAAGTACCTTTCCCCAGAGTAATGCAATTGCAAACCTCTGCATTGTTGTTCAGCTTCAAGGAGGTCCTGGGCCCTCGAAGCTCATTTATGGACCCTCTAGGGAGCTCATGGACCTCAGACAAGAACCCCTGTGATGGAGAAAAGCTAGTATGTGAGGTATGTGGAAGAAGAAACAAAGTTGATAGATTTTTTTCCTTCTAAACTGTCAGTTGAGTATTTGGACACTCTTACAGTGTGAAGAGCAGCTGGTTTGCTCTTTGCTGGTTCCTGTAGCACTTTAGAACCAATTGTACTTGATAAAATGAGGCGATGATTCATGTGACACCTTTGGCATCTTAAGCCAAATTACAGGCTCAACAGGTTTTGCCCAGCCAGTGAAGAACCCTGATAGGTTTTCTTCTCCTCACTCAGTGGCAGGGGAGAAGTTGCAATCTGTATTTAAAATTTACTCTGCGTCGTAGAGGAAAACGCCATTTCTAATTGGTGGAAAAGGGATGGTGTCAGCAACTGGCTAGCCATAGGGGAAACAATTGACTTTGATCTCTGCCTTGTTCATTTCACCAAAGTAAATTCCAGATGGATAAAAAATTGAAATGTTAAGAACTGGGCTGGGCACGGTAGCTCACACCTGTAATCCCAGCACTTTGGGAGGCCAAGGCGGGCGGATCATGAGGTCAGGAGATTGAGACCATCCTGGCTAACATGGTGAAACCCTATCTCTACTAAAAATATTTTTAAAAATTAAGCTGGTGTGGTGGTGGGCACCTTTGGTTCCAGCTACTCAGGGAGGCTGAGGCAGGAGAATGGCGTGAACCCAGGAGGCGGAGCTTGCAGTGAGCCAAAATCAAGTCACTACACTCCAGCCTGGGCAACAGAGCAAGACTCCGTCTCAAAAAAAAAAAAAGTAAAAGAAATGTAAGAAGTGGAAGAAAATACAGGAGGCATTTTAAAAAATAATTTTTAAGTAGAAAAGATATTTCTAAGCAAGACACAAAACTCAGAAACCCCAAAAGGAAAGACTGATGAATTTGAGTACATGAATTTTCATTTGTGGAGAATAAACATACAGTTAAAAAAACAAAATTGGGCCGAGAGTTATTCATGCCTGTAATCCCAGCACTTTGGGAGGCAGAGGCGGGCAGATCACTTGAGCTAGGAGTTTGAGACCAGCCTGAGCAACATGGAGAAACCCTGTCTCTGCAAAAAATACAAAAATTAGCTGGGTGTGGTGGTGCGTGCTTGTAGTCCCAGTTACTTGGGAGGCTGAGGTGGGAGGATCACTTGAACCCAGGAGGTTGAGGCTACAGTAAGCTGAGATTGCACCACATTCCAGCCTGGGTGACAGAGCGAGACCTTGCCAAAAAAAAAACTGGACAAAAATATTAGTATGCATAGCAGACAGCATTTTCATAATAAATAAAGATCTCATCCCAGCCTGGCCAAAATGTGAAACCCCGTCTCTACTAAAAATACATAAAAATTAACCACACGTGGTGGTGTGTACCTGTAGTCCCAGCTACTCGGAGACCGAGGCAGGAGAATCGCTTGAATCCTGGAGGCGGAGATTGCAGTGAGCCGAGATCATGCCATTGCACTGCAGCCTGGGCAACAAGAGCAAGACTCTGTCCTTAAAAAAAAAAAAAAAAAAAAAAAACCTCGTGAAAATGATCAATAACCTGAAAAAAGAGTGCGTGAGGCCATGTGAAATTTAACAAAACAAGAAATACAAAAAAAAAAAGAATGGTTTTTATTTTATTTTTCAGAGACAGAATCTTGCTCTATTGCCTTGGCTAGTGAGTACAGTGGCATGATCTCGGCTCACTACAACCCCTGCCTCCTGGGTTCAAGTAATTCTCCTGCCTCCATCTCCTAAGTAGATGGGATTACGGGCATGCACCACCAGGCCCAGCTAATTTTTTGTATTTTTAGTGGAGACAGGGTTTTGCCTTGTTGCCCAGACTGGTCTTGAACTCCTGACTGAAGGTGATCCACCCACCTTGGCCTCCCAAAGTGCTGGGATCATAGGCATAAGCCACCACGCCCAGCCTCAGTAAATATTTTCTTGACTAATGAAAAGGGAGGCTGAGGCAGGAGGATTGCTTGAGCCGGGAAGTCAAGGCTTCAGTAAACCATGGTTGTGCCACTGCACTCTAGCCAGGGCAACAGAGTGAGACCCTGTCTCTAAAAAAGAAGAAAAAAAGGAATGAAAAATAGTTCAGCTTCTTTGGAAGGCAGTTTGGGAGAATTTATCAAAATTAGAAATGTACATAGTTTTTGATTCAGTGATGGTGCTTTAAGAATTGATTCTAGCCAGGTGCAGTGGCTCATGCCTATAATCCCAGCACTTTGGGAGGCCAAGTCAGGAGGATCGCTTGAGCCCAGTAGTTAAGTCCAGCCTGGGCAACATGACAAAATCCCATCTCTACCTAAAATACAAAAATTAGCCAGCAATGGTGGTGCACACCTTTAGTCCCAGCTACTGGGAGGCTGAGGCAGGAGGACTGATTGAGTTCAGGTGGTCAAGGCCACAGACAGCCGTGATCACACCACTGCGCTTCAGCCTGGGCAACAGAACAAGACACTGTCCCCCTCTCCTGCCCCCTGCCCCCCTAAAAAAAGAATTGATTCTAGAAGTATGTGTTTTACACATTAAAATATTTATAGGCTATTTATAGTAACTTCGTTTGTAATAGAAAAAAATTGCAAAACTACTCATCAGTGGGAGGATTGGCTAAAAATACTAGAAAATATTGTAGGAAAAGAATTAAGAATAAATATGGAGCATCTCCAAGATACAGAATTTTAAATGTAATGTGCAGAATAGTATTTACGGTTTGTGTGGTTAAGAGGGAAAGGGGAAGAATCCGTGTGTGTGCTTGTGTGTGTGGAGCGGCTCTGGAAAGATTCGCAGATGGTATGGGGAGGAGAACTAAGACAATTAAATAGATGTTGGAGAAGGAGAGAGAATTTTCAGTAAACACCTTTCTGTTCTGTTTGAAATTGTTAACATGCATGTACTGTATCCTTTAAAAATAAAAGAATAAAAAGAATTACTCTTCCTGAATGATAACCATGCCTACCTCAGATAAAAAATCCTTTTTATTCATTCACGGAAGTACATAAAAACTATTTCAGCAAACTCTTTTTTTGTTTGTTTTTTGGTTTTTGGTTTTTTTTTTGAGACGGAGTCTCACTCTGTCGCCCAGGCTGGAGTGCAGTGGCCGGATCTCAGCTCACTGCAAGCTCCGCCTCCCGGGTTCACGCCATTCTCCTGCCTCAGCCTCCCAAGTAGCTGGGACTACAGGCGCCTGCCACCTCGCCCGGCTAATTTTTTTGTATTTTAGTAGAGACGGGGTTTCACCATGTTAGTCAGGATGGTCTCGATCTCCTGACCTCGTGATCCGCCCGTCTTGGCCTCCCAAAGTGCTGGGATTACAGGCTTGAGCCACTGCGCCCGGCCTTCAGCAAACTCTTGTTTAATCCTTAGAGCACAGAGATACAGTCCATAGCTCCACTGAGAAATCTGTGTTGTGATTTTTTCCCCTGGTATGTGTGTAATTTTCTGCATGCTTGTAATCTGCTTTTTGATGCATTCTTCCTTTCTAGATCAAAACTACAATAACGCCACTGCCCTTGTGATTACCTTCCCTGTCAATAACTACTATAATGATACAGAGAAGCTCCAGAGGGCCCAGGCCTGGGAAAAAGAGTGAGTCACTCATGGGTGTGAGCAGACTGTCCTTGCATTGTGGGAAGCTAGACACTTGCAGCAAGCACTTAAACTTCATTTTCTAAATTAACCAATGGCAGGTCTGAGTTATGTAATTTTGTTCACTTGGTGCTAATGATGCTAAGTAGAAACTGTAAATACGTTTACCTTTGAGCAGATGCTTTAAACATCTCTCCCTCCACCGGAATGCAAAAGTGTGCAAAAAAAGGTTCCTTGCATTGTTTTTACTTATTTCATTTATTTTTTGAGACTGGGTTCACTCTTGCCTAGGCTGGGGTGCGGTGACTCAATCTCAGCTCACTGCAGCCTCAACCTCCTAAGCTCAAGTGGTCCTCCCACGTCAGCCTCCCAAGTAGCTGAGACTACATGTCCATGCCATCACACCCAGCTAATTTTTGTATTTGTTTGTAGAAACAGGGTTTTGCCATGTTGCCCAGGCTGGTCTTGACCTCCTAACCTCAGGTGATTCACCCTCCTTGGCTTCCCAAAGTGCTGGAATTACAGGTGTGAGCCACTGCACCCAGCCACCTGCATTGTTCTCTATCAGCAAAACTTGGGACCATGCTGAATGTACTTAATAAGGAATGAATACAATAGAATATTGTGCTGTCATAAAAGACAGTGAAGTAAATAAATGGTTCACAATGTATATTTATATAAATATATACTGTTTATGCTGTTGTCCATGCTTAGAAAAAAATATCAAGCAAATGACCTGAGAAATTAACTGTGTTTGTAACCTCTGGAGAATGGGAAGAGAGGACTTTGGAGACCAGGTTGCACTTTATACCCTCCAGTACTTTTTAAAACATGTTTTACTGAGATATGGTACATGCATCATACAGTTCACCCACTTAAAATATACAGTTCAGGCTGGGAATGGTGGCTCACACTTGTAGTCCCAGCACTTTGGGAGGCTCACTTGAGGCCAGGAGTTCAAGACCAGCCTAGGCAATGTAGTGAGGCATGTCTCTAAAAAAAAAAAAGTAAAAAGAAAAATTTAAAAAGAAAAAAAGTGTACAATTCCATAGCTTTACTATATTCACATATATGTGCAACCATCACCACAGTCAATTTTAGGAACATTTTCATTACTCCACAATAAAACTCTGCACCCTTTAACTAACACCCTCCATCTTTTCCTCCTCCTATCCACAGCCCTAGGCAACCACTAAAATACTCTCTGTCTCTGGAGACTTTCCTATTCTGGACTTTTATGCGCATAGAATAATATGTGGACTTTTTTGTCTGGCTTTTGTTGAACATAAAATTCTCAAGGTTCATTCATGTTGTGGACATAATATTCTCAAAGTTCATTCATGTTGTGGCATGTATCAGTACTCCATTCCTTTTCATTCCATTGTATGGATATACTACACTGTGTGCATTTATCAACTGATGCACATTTGGGCTGTTTCCATTTTGGCTATCATGAATAACGCTGCTATGAACACTTGAGTACAAGTTCTTGTGGATGTGAGTTTTCATTTCTTTTGGGTACATACCTAGTAGTAGAATTGCTGAGTCATAGGGTAAGTCCACTTTGAATAATTTGAAGAACTGCCAGACCATTTTCCAAAGTGGCTATAGTGCTTTATATCACCACCAGCAGTCCATGAAACTTCCAGTTTCTTCGCATCCTCGCCAACGCTTTTTATTATCTGACTCTGTGATTCGAAGTGCTATCTCATTGTGGTTTTGATTTAGTAGACTGAATGCATTTTTTTTTTTTTTTTTTTTTTTGAGATAGCGTCTTGCTCTGTCACCCAGGCTGGAGTGCAGTGGCATGATCTCAGCTCACTGCAACCTCTGCCTCCCAGGTTCAAGTGATTCTCCTGCCTCAGCCTCCCAAGTAGCTGGGATTACAGGCACCTGCCACCATACCCGGCTAATTTTTGTATTTTTAGTAGAGACGGGCCTTCACCATGTTGGCCAGGCTAGTCTCGAACTCTTGACCTCAGGTGATCTGCCAGCCTCAGCCTCCCAAAGTACTGGAATTATAGGCGTGAGCCACCGTGCCCAACCCTAAACTTAAATTCAGCATGTATGGAACCTTAACTGTAATCTGATAGTCTCCAGTATAGAAGATCCTAATGCAGTGGCTGGGCATGGTGCCTGTAATCCCAGCACTTAGGGAGGTGGAGGCAGGAGGAGTGCCTTGAGGCCAAGAGTTCGAGACCAGCCTGCACAACATGACAAAGACCTCATCTCTACAAAAAAAAAAATTTTTTTTTTGAGACGAAGTCTCGCTCTGTCGCCCAGGCTGGAGTGCAGTGGCCGGATCTCAGCTCACTGCAAGCTCCGCCTCCCGGGTTCATGCCATTCTCCTGCCTCAGCCTCCCGAGTAGCTGAGGCTATAGGTGCCCGCCACCTTGCCCGGCTAGTTTTTTGTATTTTTTAGTAGAGACGGGGTTTCACCGTGTTAGCCAGGATAGTCTCGATCTCCTGACCCAGTGATCCACCCGTCTCGGCCTCCCAAAGTGCTGGGATTACAGGCTTGAGCGACCGTGCCCGGCCACAAAAAATTTTTAAAATTAGCCAGGCATGGGGATACATCTCTGTAGTGCCAGCTACTCAAGAGGCTGAGGCAAGAGGATCCCTTAAGCCCAGGAGTTCGAGACTGCAGTGAGCTATAATTGTGCCACTGTACTCCAGCTGAGGCAACAGATTGAGACTCTATTTCAAAACAAGAACAAAAGCAAATGAAGGATCCTAATGCAGGATAAAGGTTAAGAAAACATGGCCTTTGAACCGGGCACAGTGGCTCACGTCTGTAATCCCATCACTAGGAGAGGCTGAGGCAGGTGGATCACTTAAGGTCAGGAGTTTGAGACCAGCCTGGCCAACATGGTGAAACCCTGTCTTTACTAAAACTACAAAAATTAGCCGGTCCTAGTGGCGCACGCCTGTAGTCCCAGCTACTCAGGAGGCTGAGGCAGGAGAAGCACTCGAACACGGGAGATGGAGCTTGCAGTGAGCCGAGATCGCACCATTGCACTTCAGCCTGGGTGACAGCGAGACTCGGTCTCAAAACAAAAAAAAGAAAACGTGGCCTTTGTATCATGAAAGTTGGGAAGAAGTTTCTTACTTAGCTGTCACTAAGTTTTAACTAAAAATATAGCATTTTGCTTACCTTTTAGGTTTATTAATTTGGTGAGAAACTACAAGAATCCCAATCTGACCATTTCCTTCAGTGCTGAACGAAGTATTGAAGATGAACTAAATCGTGAAAGTGACAGTGATATCTTCACCGTTGTAATTAGCTATGCCATCATGTTCCTATATATTTCCCTAGCCTTGGGGCACATCAAAAGCTGTCGCAGGCTTCTGGTAAGTGGGGGATATGCATATGTTAGAGGTTAGCAGCAGTGCACAGTGTAACGTCATGTTTTTGCCTCTTTATTCTTAATCCATTATGTTTAAAACTGCCGTAAATTCCCCCATGTTTTAATTGTATGTAACATTTCTGTTGCCTACATCTGTTTTCTTCAGTTCCAGCTTTTTGGTTTATCTTAAAGTTTATTTCACATAATCCAGTTTTTTCTTATTAGTCCAGTCCATCACCTAAGAATGCAAATGCATAACGTGTTGCCTGGGCAGACCCAGAAATGTTTACAAGTCCTCTCTGAAACACAGAATTGTAGTTTTAACTCTTGGTTTGATACAGCCCTGTAAAGTAAAAAGGAGGACCTTTTAGTAACAAGTGGGACAGACAGCCCTGTAACTAACTGGTGATTGTGTCTTTGTCGCCCCTCTCAGGTGGATTCGAAGATCTCACTAGGCATCGCGGGCATCCTGATCGTGCTGAGCTCGGTGGCTTGCTCCTTGGGCATCTTCAGCTACATTGGGTTGCCCTTGACCCTCATTGTGATTGAAGTCATCCCGTTCCTGGTGCTGGCTGTTGGAGTGGACAACATCTTCATTCTGGTGCAGGCCTACCAGGTATACTTCCGTATTCTCACGGGGCTCAGCATCTGTCCAAGTTTCGGGGTGTGAATGGCTGCTGGGCTCCGCATTCGTGAATGTGGCCTGTGAGGGTGTTTTGTTTCCTTTCCTTGTGTGGCTCATCGGTCTTCCTGACTTGCTGTGGACATCTTAGGACCAAGAATTTCACCCCTCTTTTTGGTTGATGAAATAGTAGAAATAAAGTAAGAATTTTGTTTTAAATTGTATCTTTAAATAGTGTCTTTTAATAGTATCTTTTCATTTTAAATAGTATCGTGTGTACAAGAAGGGCTAACACACTTTTGGAAAATATTTTGGGTACGACTGCTATTGAAATGATTTTCAGCATAGTATAGAATGTTAGATTCATTTTGCTCAAAGGTGCCACTAAAAAGGCAAAAGGTCAACACGTGTCCAGCTGCTGTAGAAGGTGGTCTCAGTCATCCTGTAAATCCGACCTGGGCGGAGACTCAGTGCACGTGAGAGTGATGGTCAGTGGTCCAGTCCTCTGCCGCCCGTGTATTTTCCTAATAGTGTGGCTCAGCTTTCCCTTTAGTTTCTCACGTGGTACCTAGCTGCGTAGTGTAGAAATACTCTGAGTGAATTAACGTGAGAACATTGGAGTCCCCCCCCAAAGTTTATATGCTTAGAAGACACTGCTAATCATCTGCTAATCATTTATCTTTACCCTTGAGTTAACACAAGGCAGCAAGAAGTGGTGTTGTTACTGAGAAATTTTAATGTTGCTTTTTTTTTTTTTTTTTTTTAAAGAGAGATGAACGTCTTCAAGGGGAAACCCTGGATCAGCAACTGGGCAGGGTCCTAGGAGAAGTGGCTCCCAGTATGTTCCTGTCATCCTTTTCTGAGACTGTAGCATTTTTCTTAGGTAATTATGCTTTCAATCCTACCAGTCCTATAGTTCGCTGAGCCTGGAGAAAGAAGGAGCTGGGTATCTGAACATGTCCCTTTGTGTTGCCTCTATTATTTTTTTTTTTTTTCCTTTTTTCTCTTCTCCGAGATGGAGTCTCACTCTGCCACCCAAGCTGGAGTGCAGTGGTGTAATCTCGGTTCACTGCAGCTTCCGCCTCCCGGGTTCAAGCGATTTTCCTGCCTCAGCCTCCCAAATAGCTGAGATTAAAGGCACGCACCACCACACCCAGTTAATTTTTTGCATTTTTTAGTAGAGACAGGGTTTCCTCTGTTGGCCAGGCTGGTCTCGAACTCCCGACCTCAGGTGATCCACCTGCCTCGGCTTTCCAAAGTGCTGAGATTACAGGCGTGAGTGCCCGTGCTCAGCCTATGTTGTCTCCTTTTTAAAGCTTTGTTCTGCACTAGGAAAGTATCACTGAATGGACCACAGAACAATTGGCAGCAGTGTCTTAGGTGTGATTTTGCAAGTGGCTTCCTTCTCATTTAACTGTCAGGACAGCAGTGATGTTGGGGTTCAGGGTGAAAGAGACCTAGAGTTCATCTTGCCACTTTCCCCTTTTGGTAGCCACTGGGAATGTTGATAGTTGAAAATAGCATCCTTGAGTAGCTACCGAATCCTTCTCCACATGACACTCTAAGCAGCAGCTCCCAAATCCACAGGCACTCGCTTACAAGATGTTTGCCATTGTTTTCAAAGGCAGTCTTTCTCTTCTCTGCACACAACTCATTGGGGAAGCAGCCTTGTTAATGACCAGAAGCTCTTGACTCACCACATTACAAGGAGCCAGAATAAGCTGGAACAAAGTCAGCACTTCTGTGTTTCTTTCACATAGAGAATCATCAAATAGACTCACTAGGGGGGCTGTCTGCCCCATCTCTGAAGTGTAGTAAGAGCAAAGTGACTCTGTCCACTATAGAGGAGGCTGGACTGGAATCACTCAGTCCAAAGAAGACCGTCCACAGGCACAAACTGCAGTGCCTACGTGGCTGCAAGGTCAGCTTAATCAGGGCCATTGTAAGGTCATCGTAGGTGGTAGTCTCAACACAGATACGACACTAGCTTGTTGTTCTTCATTTCCACAAAGCCATGTGCTTTTGAAACCTGTAGCCCTGTAGTTCCTTTTGACAAACACAGGTGCAGGAAAAAAAAAAAAACACTTTCTTTTTTTCACTTCTATTATAAGAAAACTAGTGCAAGTGTGATGATAATAGCAGCAGAAACTGTGCCTCAAGGTTGGAGTGACCTTGGGACAGTAGGAATGAGTAGGGATTGTGGCAGCCCAAGTACACGTGTCCTGTCTGAAAAGAGTTCTGTGTGGCCAACCCAGTGCTACAAGGTCTGTTTTGTTGTTGTTGTTGTTTTTCTTCCAAGAAAAGCTGTGAATCTAGATTTTTTGTGTAAAATGTCATTGTTAAATATTGGCAACTTATTTTAAAAAAAAGTTTTTTAATCTTAAGATGGGTTGATAGAGTGTGGACTGAATAGGAGCCATCTGATTCATGGGCTGCCAGTTTGCACTTTCCATGTCTTACCCTCAGGCCTTTGATCCTCACTCAACTGTCGATTACCTCTTAACTAAACTGGGAGGCTAATAGTGTTGATGTAATAAATGGAAAATACTGTCCCTTTTGTACAGTGAAGCATAGAAGGTACTATAAGAAATGGCCTGTATTAGTGGTTCTCAAATTTTAATGTGCATGAATTTGCCGTGAGCCTGAGTATAGTAGAATTGGGGTTGAATTCCTGTCATAACTTAGCTAGGATGGGGCTCCCCAAATGGGCTGGTGCTGCGTGCGTTTTGAAAAGCACTGGCTTATTGCCTCCTGTCCCAGTTCTGGTGTAATGTCCAGCCGCAGCATGCCTTCTCATGCATTTGGCCTGTGCTGGTTCCTTGTATCTGTACACGCACATGAACATAAGACCTGCAGAGAGCCCCCTGCTGTAAACAGAAGTGACGCAGAACCCTTCTCCCCCGGCAGGAGCAATGTCCGTGATGCCGGCCGTGCACACGTTCTCTCTCTTTGCGGGACTGGCAGTCTTCATTGACTTTCTTCTGCAGATTACCTGTTTCGTGAGTCTCTTGGGGTTAGACATTAATCGTCAAGAGGTAAGCTGGTGCCAGGATTATAGTCTATTTAATAAATAATTTGAGTCTAGAATCTAGAGGAAGCAGCTAGCAGGTATAACCTTTGTTCCCCTCTGTGCCCTCAGAAAAATCGGCTAGACATCTTTTGCTGTGTCAGAGGTGCTGAAGATGGAACAAGCGTCCAGGCCTCAGAGAGCTGTTTGTTTCGCTTCTTCAGAAACTCCTATTCTCCACTTCTGCTAAAGGACTGGATGAGACCAATTGTGGTATGCGCTTCTCTGTGGCTTTTCTCTTTCTCTCACTGAAACAGATGATCACACGCCTTCTAAGAAGTCAGACAGCCTGGGAAGGAGATTCTTACAGCTGTTAAATATATCTAAAAAAAAAAAAAGCAAAAGCAAATATGGAACAGTAGATAAAATGTTTTGCCCATGAGCTTTCATCAGTCCATATAAACAAGAGTTTTCTTTAAGTTTTGTATTTTGAAATAGTTTCAGATTCACAGAAAGTTGCAAAGAAACTTTTATTTTTCCTTTAATGATGAGGAAATAGAAGCCAAGACAGGTGAAGTGGTTTGCCCCAAGTCACTAAGCCCATAAGTGGCAGAGTCAGGATTTGCACCCGGGGACTTGGACTCTGGGTGCGTGGTCTCACCCACTGCCCTGTACTCCCTACTAACCTGTCATTTAAGCTTTTCCATTTTAAAAAAAATCCTGCTTTTTGTGTGTGCTTAAGATTTTATTTCTGGTTGTAAGCTTATTCTACTAAGCAGTCTCTGTCTTGTGATTCATTTGTTGTTTCAGATAGCAATATTTGTGGGTGTTCTGTCATTCAGCATCGCAGTCCTGAACAAAGTAGATATTGGATTGGATCAGTTTCTTTCGATGCCAGATGTAAGATGACTTCCTTTTCTTTTTAACTTCTTTAGCTGATGATGAATACATTTTTCAAAACATGCATGTGGGTGTTTCAAGCAAGTGCCTGCTTCTAACTGCAAATGGTGACAGGGTTTCCAGGGTTAGGAGAACTGCCCAGTGCACTCAGTGTGGGCTGCTTGGCATTCTCACTGAGCCCCTCTGGGCACAGCTGCAGAACACGAACAACCAGTCTTATGAGGTTACTTAGGAGGTGCTCTCCTGATTGTGGGGCTAGCAGGAGGGGCACCCTGTGGCCCTGGGGGCAGGACTGGCAGTGTTAGGAATCATGAGTCCAGCTGGAGGCATCTCAGCCAGCAGCCTCCTGGCACCCCCCTGTTCTCCGTGATCCTCACCTTGCTTGGTTACTATCAGAGTACTGTCACTCTCTCCTATTCTTTGTCTTTCAGGACTCCTACGTAGTGGATTATTTCAAATCCATGAGTCAGTACCTGCATGCGGGTCCGCCTGTGTACTTTGTCCTGGAGGAAGGGCACGACTACACTTCTCCCAGGGGGCAGAACATGGTGTGCGGTGGCATGGGCTGCAACAACGATTCCCTGGTGCAGCAGATATTTAATGCGGCGCAGCTGGACAACTAGTCAGTACTGCCTCGTCTTGTACTTCAGAAGCAGTGGGGGGCTTTCAGCCAGGCCATCAGCTCAGGCCTGAAATGTCTCACTGAGAATAGACTTTCTTGGAAAAGTTGTTTTTACGCAAAATGTATGTTAAATCTGGCTTTACCTTAACAAAACCTTTGAAAGGACTAATTTACCACCTAATACTTGGAAGGTTGTTTTCATTAAGTGCTCATATAGTTTTTCTTTTGACTGTTAGCAGCATAAAGTGTAGAAAAGGAAGTGAAGTTTTAAGAAAAGTACTGAAACTAAAGACTTCCTCCCTATGGAGCAGCTCAGTAACCCTGTCTCTCCTCTCTAGTACCCGGATAGGCTTCGCCCCCTCGTCCTGGATCGACGATTATTTCGACTGGGTGAAGCCGCAGTCGTCTTGCTGTCGAGTGGACAATATCACTGACCAGTTCTGCAATGCTTCAGGTACTTTCATCTCCTTTACCAAATCTTTCCCTTTTTGCTGAAAAATTTTCAAATTATCATTTAAAAATCATTTGCATCGTGCCTCAGTTTATACCTATTTGTATATCAAAGCTGGGTCTCCCTCCCTGTGTCATCGTTCCTTTCCTCAGTCATTCATTCTGAAATTGTCACGTCATTCCTGGCTCAGACAGCTGCCCTCGGGGCTGCAGGCTGAACAGGGGTTCCTGGCTCAGGCAGCTGCCCTCAGGGCTGAACAAGGCCCACTTCTTGGGAGTGTGGTTTCCAGATAAGGTTTCTCATCCTGTCCTGACTCCAGCGATTGCCTCTCAGGATTGGTACCTGGCCTTAGCTTCTCAGAGGAGGGCTTTTCTTTTCTTTATCACTTTGCCCTATGGTTTTATAGGAGCATCGAGGTTGCCCTGGAATTTTCTTAATAAAAACATGGACGCCTTGGGCTCTGACCAGTCAAGGCCATCCTTGAAGGAGGAGACCTACTTCAGGGCAAAAACGATGCAAAGTATGCCTAAGATGAAAATGGTATTTCAGATCATTAAACTATGAAATTGACATATGGCTGAAGCTTTTAGATAAGGGGAAAGATTATCCCTCACTAGTAAGGAAAATAATTGGTAGTTGAGAAAGTAATGCCCCTCACTGTCAGTATTTTTAAATGTGTTACAAAAAATCTGGAGACCTATTCTTCTAACAGTCCTCCCTGCATGTCTCCACCAGTGGTTGACCCCGCCTGTGTCCGCTGCAGGCCTCTGACTCCGGAGGGCAAACAGAGGCCTCAGGGTGGAGACTTCATGAGATTCCTGCCCATGTTCCTTTCGGATAACCCTAACCCCAAGTGTGGCAAAGGGTAAGCGCTACTGCCATTACAGATAAGCATCCACTGCAACTTCAATTTGCAATAGAAAACTAGGAGAGGACTGGGCTAAAACAGTTGCATGGGAACATCCTCTTCTCTGCCCCACCCTGTCCTGGTCCTTTGGTGGAAGCAGGGAAACTGAAAACACCTTTTTAAGAAAATGCCTCAGGCTGGGCATGGTGGCTCACCAAGGCGGGCGGATCACGAGGTCAGGAGATCGAGACCATCCTGGCTAACACGGTGAAACCCCATCTCTATTTAAAAAATACAAAAAAACCAGCCTGGCGTGGTGGCGGGCGCCTGTAGTCCCAGCTACTCGGGAGGCTGAGGCAGGAGAATGGCGTGAACCCGGGAGGCGGAGCTTGCAGTGAGCAGAGATGGCACCACTGCACTCCAGCCTGGGCGACAGAGCGAGACTCCGTCTCAAAAACAAAAAAAAAAGAAAATGCCTCCTAGTGTTCAACTGATTGTATCTTAGCATGGCATTCACATCTCATGCTCTCTCTGTGTCCTGCCCCCACGTGGGCATGAGAATGAACGCAGATTCCTGTGCACATTCCAAGCGGGGGTGATGGGGAGAACGGCCTGCTGGTAATCCAGGCCCGAAGGAACTCAGCCTGCTCAGTTGTGCTGATGGCAGCTGCGGCGTCATCTTAGCTTTGGTAACGTTATCCCACATTAAGGTTGCGATTCTTTTATTCCTGTCACGGTCCTTGCCAGCCCATCCGTGTATGGGGTTATGTGCTGTCTCACTCCCCCATCCAGCCAGGCAGCCAGTTACCCATGGAAGCCAGATATATGGCCCACAAGTCTCTGGGATTTGGAAGCTTTGGGAAGCAGAAGATGAGTATCCCCATGTATGTTAGGTAAACCCTGAACTTAGGTTTTTCATAAGAACATACATCTGACCAGAGTCACATCAGCGAATCATTGCTATCATGCATGTGCGTTGAGACCTATTCTAGGTACCATGGGATGACTCCCCCTAGAAGTAAAGTAGAAATGAATCTTGCATATTGATTTACTCACTGACTGATGCTTTGGCCTACATAAAATAAGCTGAAGTAGATTCCGTTTTTCTGAAGGCAGTAGCCAGCGTTCCTGGGGAGCCTCCAGGGTGCCAGCGTCATGCCGGCCACTCCCTGACATTATTCCATTTATCACCACACAGCCTTGCGTAGGTGGTGGCATACCCATTTACAGAAGAGGAGACGGGCTCAGAGGAGGTCATTTTGCTCAGGGTTACATGACCAGTAAGTGGCAGGGCCAAAGTTGTTCCCGGGGCCCTTGCCCTTTCCTGCCTGCTGTTACGCAACAGGACTGAGTAAACTCTGTACGTTTGATTATACCTGAAACCAGGTGGAGAAACAGCAGCTATGTACCGAAGAACCCAGAGCAATCAAGAAAAGCCCATTTGGCTGGGCACAGTAGCTTATGCCTGTAATCCCAGCATTTTGGGAGGCTGAGGTGGGCGGATCACCTGAGGTCAGGAGTTCAAGATTAGCCTGGCCAACATGGCAAAACCCTGTCTCTACCAAAAAAAATATAAAATTAGTCGGGCATGGTGGCAGGTGCCTGTAATCCCAGCTATTCGGGAGGCTGAGGCAGGGAGAATTGTTTGAACCGGAAGGCGGAGGTTGCAGTGAGCCGAGATTATGCCACTGTAATCCAGCCTGGGCTACAGAGCAAGACTCTGTCTCAAAAAAAAAAAAAAAAGCCAGTCTGAGCGAGAACAAGCTAAACCTTTGGTATTCCCTTATTCGGGGGCCTTCTTCATCCCTGTAATGTACGGCTGGGTCTGACCTCAGCCCAGGGTCAGGTGATTTTGCTTAGCCTCCAGTACTCAGATTCTGCTGATACTTTGCAAGACCTGGACTCTGACACCCAGGATGCTTTCCTCAGGGGGCATGCTGCCTATAGCTCCGCAGTTAACATCCTCGACAATGGCACCAGGGTCGGAGCCACATACTTCATGACCTACCACACTGTGCTGCAGACCTCTGCTGACTTTATTGATGCTCTGAAGAAAGCCCGACTTATAGCCAGTAATGTCACCGAAACCATGGGCATTAATGGCAGTGCCTACCGGGTATTTCCCTACAGGTAAAGCCTGACCTTTTTCAGTGGGGTTTGCCCAGCAAAGGGCCTACACTGGGCGGGAATGGGGAGGGTTCCCTTGGCAAGATGCTGATTTTCAGGTTGGGTTCTGGCCCCCACTCCGTTCCGAGCACAGGGCAATATATCAAAGGAAATGGGTGCTGGGCAAGGGGGTTCAGAATCTAAAGCCTCTCTGAAGGCCTGAGGGCCAGAGACACAGAACTTGATCTCTGCGCTACCACACAGCTGCAAGAGACACACACTGGAAAATGGCTCAAGGCAAGGGGGCGCTTGGAGAGCAGGTGGCTTAGAGCGGGGCCAGGCCCACATCCTTGGCCAGCAATGGACCAGAATCCCCAACTGCTGGTTATTTGGGATGTTGCCTGTTTGTAGACTTTTTATATTGTTAGGGTTTTTTTTTCCCCAGCAAGAAAAGTATTATGTATGACATGGTGAATTTGAAAACTGTAGAAAGGAGGAGAAACAAGTGATTTATTTTTCCTGCCTGCCCATGATCTCGCTTAAAGCAAGAAGGCCTGGATTTGTTTGGAAGAAGTTAAGAGCCGATTAGCTCCACAAGAAAATAAATGAAAGCATTTTTTCCTCAGGCCTTGCACGGACCCCGCTGAGCCTGAGGTAGTGTCTCAGGATAGATCAGGATTCGTTTTTGTTTTTTTTTTTTTTGTCCCCCAGAATGCTGTGGAATGCTCTCTGTAAATGTCTATAAAATAGCATAGATTGGGCTTATAAACAAAAACTTTATCAAAAATACACATTTTGCATCACTGCTGGGCCCTTCTCTGGGTGGTCAGTGGCCACGAGAGGGCGAGTGAGTTGCTTTCGATGAGTCTTGTAGACAGCCAGCAAGGTTTTCTGCAAGGGATGTTTCCTGAGGGGGTCTGACCACCTGGCAGTGGTGACAGGATGAACATGCAGCGTTTGGGAGTGAGAGCGAGCTTTAACGAGGCCTCCCCCCTCCTCTCCAGTGTGTTTTATGTCTTCTACGAACAGTACCTGACCATCATTGACGACACTATCTTCAACCTCGGTGTGTCCCTGGGCGCGATATTTCTGGTGACCATGGTCCTCCTGGGCTGTGAGCTGTGGTCTGCAGTCATCATGTGCGCCACCATCGCCATGGTCTTGGTCAACATGTTTGGAGTTATGTGGCTCTGGGGCATCAGTCTGAACGCCGTGTCCTTGGTCAACCTGGTGATGGTGAGTCCTCGTCCACTCTCAATTTGTCCCTAGCTCCTGTTTCACTTAGGGGAATTGCTGTCTTGGATTCCATGTAAACCCTAAGATGGAAGAAGAAACCAAGTCTGGCGCTCGCTCTTGGCGCACATGGAGAGGCAGGATGAGTGCTGGATGAGTGCTGGATGGTGGTGGGACAGGGCGTAGAGGGAGCGAGCATTGAGTTGAACATCTGGGAGCATAAGCACACTACAGGGAATTCTGTTCAGTTTTTTCTCTTGTCCCATTCCTTGCGGCTATACTAGTATACCTGATGGTGCCTCTGACCATGGAAATGTGATTTCCTGGCCTAGTTCCGGCCTATTCCGCCTGTAATTTGTTGTTCTTTAGAGATTGCACAAGCCTGTAGCCTAATGACAGCAGCGTGTTCACTTTTTGCTTAGAAAATTGCAGCCCGCCCCAGGAGCTCTGTGACCAGTGCCTTCTGCCTCCCATGTGGTTGTCAGGTGCTTTTCATCATTAAAGATGAGAGCACTCGAGAATATATTCATGGAAAATAGAACAGGGTATCTGTACTCTCATATATGAACCCTGCTTCAGATAGGGGAGCAGCGAGGTCCAAGAAAAGAAGTTGTGACAATGCGCCAGCTCGGTGCAGATGGGGTGACCTTAAGGCGTCCCAGCAATTTCTCCTGATCAAAACAAACATGCCACAGAAAACCAGGCTTTTGGCTGTGTGTAGAGAGGGCCCCAGAAAGTTCCTGGTACAGTCTAGATTGGTGTGATGGAGGCCTTATAAGTCCAATGGGATGCTTGGCCTCCTCTAGCACCCAGGGTGCCCTGGTAATTAGCCCCCATCCTGGGAACAGGGTGACTGCCTAGGGTCTTCAACAGGAAGAGAGCCATCATCCTAAAGGCAGTGCTTTATTTCAGAGCTGTGGCATCTCCGTGGAGTTCTGCAGCCATATAACCAGAGCGTTCACGGTGAGCACGAAAGGCAGCCGCGTGGAGCGTGCAGAAGAGGCACTCGCCCACATGGGCAGCTCCGTGAGTACCCTGAGCAGGGCCACGCCAGCAGAGTTGCACCCTGAAGTGTCCTGCTTAGTGACTGAAGAGTCTGGATCCTGTACCTAGAAAGCAGCTCCTAAGGATTGCAAGCTTTCAGGCAATTCATGAATTAGCTGCCACATCATGAACAGAACAGATGTTCTGTAGCACTGTACCTGTCGGTGCGGCTCCTTTTTAGGTGGCAGTGTGCTGAAGCAGGAAAATAACAGAAAAGTTAAACGTGAGACAGCTGCCAGTCTTTTCCATTTAAAATGCAGGCAGGGGAGCCCGGGCCAGAACCCAGCGTGTGATGTGCGGTTGGTGCCTGGAGAGTCGTCTTGGTTCAACTCTACACCCTGGCTTAGCCTATCTCTTTACCACTGTAGAAAATACTTGGTAAAGAGTAAAACTAAAACTTTGTTTCGTAACACTTTTAAATATTTAAGTTTTCACTTGAGAACATATTCAATTTAGAGACACAATGCTGCGTCTATGCAGAATACACAGCTTTTACCTTGGTCATACCTCTCCCCCGGGATCATAAGGCAGCAAATAAAATAGTGTTAGGTAGTAGATGATGCTACCTGGGTTCAGTTCCCATTGCTTTGGACCTTGAATATTAAGAAATCCCCATAAGGGCTGGGCACGGTGGCTCATGCCTACGTAATCCCAGCACTTTGGGAGGCCAGCGTGGGCAGACCACTTGAGGCCAGGGGTTCGAGACCAGGCTGGCCAACATGGTGAAACCTCATCTCTACTAAAAATACAAAAATTAGCCGGGCATGGTGGCGCACACCTATAATCTCAGCTGCTCGGGAGGCTGGGGCAGGAGAATCACTTGAACCTGGGAGAAATCCTTGTAAGAAGTGTTTCAGTTACAGGTTGGTAAAAGTGGCGTCTAACACAGCGTCTCTTCTTTTAGGTGTTCAGTGGAATCACGCTTACAAAATTTGGAGGCATTGTGGTGTTGGCTTTTGCCAAATCTCAAATTTTCCAGATATTCTACTTCAGGATGTATTTGGCTATGGTCTTACTGGGCGCCACTCACGGATTAATATTTCTCCCTGTCTTACTCAGTTACATAGGTAAGAGTTCTTGTCTTAAAAGGGTGGCATGAGAGGAAGCACATTACTGAAAGGGCATTCTGTCCTGAGGCATTCTTTTCAAGTATTTGAACTCATACTAATGGTCATTTGATAAATGATACTGAGTAAAAAAAAATTATTCTAAGAGAAAAAACCCATCCAGGGGCTTCATGATCGTGCAGACTACTTCACTAGTAAGTTGCTGATGTTTTTTCTGGAGGCCTGGAGCCAGCCCTTGAATGGATCTGAGTGTCAGCAGGTGGGGCAGCTCCTCCCTGCCGCTGAGATGGAGGAGTCCGTCCTGCAGCCGGCTCTCACACCAGCAGCGCTGCAGAGCAGCTTTTTATGTCCCTCACGGATTTCCCGTTCTCAGCAAAGTGCTGCCTCTGTTCGTCTCGAGACTATTCTTGATCCTTTTACTTCCATGGCCACTTCACCTTGCACAAAAATGACCCACGGTTGAAAGGACAGTACTGATTTGCTTGACTTAAAGCTTTGTCACTAAATTGGAGCACTGAAGTAAAAGATTAAGAAAATGAGGGGCTTTTTATCATCTCCGGGCGATAGAAAGTAGTTCTATTACAATCTAATACACTAGCTCCTTTTCTTTAAGACAAAAACAAAAAAAGTAGAGAGAGATGAGCACTTGTGGAAGGCTGAGAGGGGAGAATCGTTTGAGACCAGCCTAGGCAACATAGTGAGGCCTCCATCTCTACAAAAATACAACTGGCCAGGTGAAGTGGTGTGCGTCTGCAGTCCCACCTGCTTGTTAGGCGAAGGCAGGAAGCTTGCTTGAGCCCAGAAGGATGGGTTCAGGACGCAGCAAGTCGTGTTCATACCACTGCAGTCCAGCCTGAGGAAGAAAGCAAAGAGCCCCTCCAAATGAGAGAGAGATGTGGCCTCACTGTGTTGTCCAGGCTGGTCTCAAGCAGGTCTCCTGCCTCAGTCTCCCAAAGTGGAATTACAGGCGTGAGCCACTATGCCCAGCCAACCAGTTCCCTTTCTCCTGCGGAAATAAGAAAAATTATTTTTCTCTCTCATAGGGCCATCAGTAAATAAAGCCAAAAGTTGTGCCACTGAAGAGCGATACAAAGGGACAGAGCGCGAACGGCTTCTAAATTTCTAGCCCTCTCGCAGGGCATCCTGACTGAACTGTGTCTAAGGGTCGGTCGGTTTACCACTGGACGGGTGCTGCATCGGCCAGGCCAAGTTGAACACCGGATGGTGCCAACCATCAGGCTGATTGGCAGCAGCTTTGAACATAGTGCCCGTGAACTCAGGAATGCACAGTTGACTTGGGAAGCAGTATTACTAAATCTGGAGGCAACCACAGGACACTAAACCTCTCCCAGCTTCTTCAGGAAAGAAACCTCATTCTTTAGCAAGCAGGAGGTGACACTAGATGGCTGTGAATGTGATCCACTCCCTGACACTCTGGAAAGGCCAATCAATGCACTGTCTCTCCTTTTAGGAGTAAGCCATCCCACAAGTTCTGTACCACAGTTTTACTGATATTTGAGGTTGTAGATACACTTTATAACATTTTATAGTTTAAAGAGCTTTATTAATGCAATAAATTAACTTTGTACACATTTTTATATAAAAAAAACCAGCAAGTGATTTCAGAATGTTGTAGGCCTCATTAGAGCTTGGTCTCCAAAAATCTGTTTGAAAAAAGCAACATGTTCTTCACAGTGTTCCCCTAGAAAGGAAGAGATTTAATCGCCAGTTAGCTGTGGCATGAAATGAGGGACAAAGAAAGCATCTCGTAGGTGTGTCTACTGGGTTTTAACTTATTTTTCTTTAATAAAATACATTGTTTTCCTAAGTAAGTTTTGGGGTTGCTCTATCTGCTTTGAGAGACAAGTAGAAAAGCTAAATGGAAGAGATTCCATCCTGTCCTTACGGTAACGAAATGCCATCTTACATTGAGCTAGAAAGAGACCTACATGTTTCATTAGAGAGTCCTGATCCTTCCCTATCCTAAAGATGTCTTAGGTTGTATAACTATTTGGAGATGAGAATGATCAACCAGGGCCAGGTGCAGTGGCTCATGCCTGTAATCCCAGCACTTTGGAAGGCCGAGGCAAGTGGATCACGAGGTCAGGAGTTCGAGACCAGCCTGGACAATATAGTAAAACCCCATCTCTACTAAAAATACAAAAATTAGCCGGGTGTGGTGGCACACACCTGTAGTCCCAGCTACTCAGGAGGCTGAGGCAGAAGAATCGCTTGAACCTGGCAGAGGTTGCAGTGAACCGATATTGCACCACTGCACTCCAGCCTAGGCAACAGAGTGAGACTCCGTCTCAACGAAAACAATAAATGAGAATGATCAACCAATGTATACTTCATAAAACTGAAACTTTAACAAGCCCCAGGCCCTTTAAAATACTTAGCCACCATTTGCCGTCTTATTCCTGGCTTCAAGAGATATTCCAAGATCTGCTATAAGAGATGGGCTGTGCCTAATAGGTCCTAAATGTGTCTTGACTCAAAACGCACCTTCCTTGGTGAGTTCCAGAGCCTAACTCAGATTCTGTCAGCATACTGAATTCACTCTGCTACAAATAATGGGCCGAGGGCTAGCTGGGCTGTTACCAAATTGTGTTGTTTACAAAAACGCTAACCCAAGAGTCCTCGCCCACCAGCTGCCAGTGCCCTCTGCTACTCTTTGAGGCTACGGTTACCCCAAGTCTTTGCATTCTCACCTGGTGTGAAACTGGGGCTCCCTCGCAAACGCTGGTTTCGCTGTTCAAAAAACCGGAATATTGTATAGAAAAGCATGTTGTCTTCAGTCTGCTTTGCAGCATCTAAAAATTTTCGTGCAGAAATGTTGTCATGGCCACCAATGCCCCGGATAAACCTTAAGGCGGCTAACACTTGGTGTTTGGAAAGAAGAACTTCTACTATTTCATCATTTGCTGTTGAAAGTCGCTGGGAATAAGGGAGAGAAGTCCAGGTCAGTGCAAACAACAGGAACAGAGTTAGTTTCCATAGTCTAAAACCTCACACATCAGACTTACCTTCAGCATGTCCAGAGACAGCTGATGAGCAGGAGGATAGAAACTCTCTAGGGATAACAGCAGACAAGCCTGAAAGGCATTTTTAGACCTGCTTCAGTTGGAAGGTTAACAGTTAAAATGTTCTGGTTTTAACCACAATGGAAGTAGAAATCTGGCAATGCATACCAAAGGCTTGGAGTCGCTGAGGACGTGGTACTGCAGGAACTGATGCAGCATATAAAAGAGGTTGTGCTGGACAAGGGTTTTGATAACAAGTTCATGTAGGTAATGCTGAGGACAAAAGTAAAAAGTGAAAGAACACTTCCAAATCATTCCGCTACAACAGACTAGAGGCTCCCCGAGGACTGGCTATTCCAACCAACATGGCCAAAGTGTCACTACAAGAAGTGGTTTCATCATGCAGGTAAAGACCCCAACTTGACATTACACTTCCATTCCAACTAATAATGTTGGGAGAGTCACTCAGCATTGAGTCAGGGAGGCAGACCTGTCTTAGAATATGAGTCATCTTCCAAGAGGGACTGTGTCTTTTTTTTTTTTTTAATTCCTGCTGTTTTAACTTGGGACCAGCTGATTTGAAGGTACCTGTACTGCAATCTGAAACTGGTTAAGAGAACGAATGTATTCCATCAGCACGGCTATCACAAATTTATGAGGCATCTCCTAGGGAGGAAAAAATGTGGTTTTATAAATACCAACGAGGTGCAAAAGGGGCTGCATATAACACTTTATCCAACACCCGCCTGGTTTCCATCTTAAAATGGCCCAGTGTTCATCTTTCACTGGTTTTGCATAAATCACTCCAGAACCACTTGTCACTGATTATGCTTTAGGCCTGAGTATCAGAAACCAAACTACCAGCTCTAGGTCCTCACCCAAGGAAACTCCAGTGATTCTAATCACATGAAGTCTCCTGCTTTCCTCAACTGCCTTGTTTTGAGCATTCTCAGTCCGGAAGAGGCGGAAAGCTGCAGCCCACCTTCTTTTCCACGAAGGCTGACAGGACATGGGTGTACACATCCGACTGGTCCAGCACCGCCTGGGTCCGCACCGGCCTCTTGAGGAGCGGGCTGCTTCGGCTCTGCCCTGCTTCCACTGCCTGAAAGAAGAAACCACAAACTATGACCTTCGGCATCTTGGAGGAAGGGTGCTGTGTACAGTTCATCCACAAGGACTGCATTCTTCGATGTGGACCCCAGGATATGAGCGGAACACGCTTCTTTCTCTACTTAGATAAAATATTTCCTGTGCTGGCTTGGGGAGGGTCTAGGAAGTCAGAATTGGTCATCTTGAAAACACTCCAATGTTCATGGTAGATGAAACGGAAAAAGCATGTGTCAGCAAGTTTTCTCTTAAAATATATCACACTTAGCCTCTTACAATTTTTTAACTTCCTGTCTAAGCTTCTTAATCCTGGACCACGGGCATTTGTTATCTGGCAAAAATGAAACGGCCTGCTGCATCCCTGCTTTATGAAGTCCTGATCCTACAATAAGTGAGGGGCGCCTGCATGGAGTCTCCAGGGATTTTTAGGTGGGAAGCCAGAGCACCACAAGTCCCGAATAGGAAAGCTCTGAGACCTTGACGACCTCACCTGACGTTTGAAAGCAGTTCCGGCTGGGCGCGGTGGCTCACGCCTGTAATCCCTGCACTTTGGGAGGCCAAGGCGGGTGGATCACCTGAGGTCAGGAGTTCCAGATCAGCCTGACTAATATGGAGAAACCCCGTCTCTACTTAAAAAAAAAAAAAAAATTCAAAATTAGCCAGGCGTGGTGGTACATGCCTGTAATCCCAGCTACTCGGGGGAGGCTGAGGCAGGAGAATCACTTGAACCCAGGAGGAGGAGGTTGTGGTGAGCTAAGATCTCGCCATTGCACTCCAGCCTGGGCAACAAGAGCAAAACTCCGTCTCAAAAAAACAAAGCAGTTCAGATCCATGCAGATTATGCAATAGCTGTGGGGTGTAGTCTGAGAACCTGCATTTCCAAGAAACTCCAGATGCTGCTCATGTGGCTGGTCATTGGCCCCCACTGCTGAGTCATGTTGTTTATGGAGCCCAGTAGACAGTGCGGGACAGCACAGAAACTGCCATTTGGGATCAGACCTGCTGATTCCCACAGGCCAGAACACCCACGGCAATAGGGTTCAAAAGGACTCAGCCATCCCTCATATCTGACGGGGTGGAAATGGACACTGTCCAGGCAACCGGCCCTCTTCAGTGCCTGTCTCAGACCTCTTACCCTTCCACGAACAGCTGAAGGGGAGTGCAGTTCGGGGGCTTTTGTTGGTTTAAAACCATGTTCAGCCTAGGACTAATCAGATCCTGGAAGTGAAGTCAGTCATTCTCCTTGTCCTAAACTTTTCTTCTTTCTGGCTTCAGGAGGTATGATGTACGAGTAATACAGTGGAAATTGGTGGCGATAAGCCATGGTTACTACCTTCACTACAAACATGCCTGCTAAGTGCTAACACTGAATCGTCACTATCCCAACAGGACGCTATCTCAACAGGAAAGAAAGGTGTGGCAAACAGAAATACTTCGAATTTAATTTACTAAGTCCTCACTCTGGCAAAACAGAAAAATATACAAAATATTGCAAAGCAGAGACTGATTTTTCTCATCTATATATAACAGTAGGCCAAGGATCTACAGGCAAGATCAAACACAGATGGGGGAAAAACAAAAACAGTGAAGGTATGAAGTGAGATGTGGCCTCCAGCTCATGGGATGCAGGGCCCCTGAATTTACTACTTCCCCACTATCGCCACCTTGCCCTGTGGCAGGCAGCAAATCTCAGTGACGTTATTCTAATCTATAGGAAACAATTTTGCATCATAATGACTTAGAAAATACCAGGGAGGAGGTGGGGGAGGAGGACCCTTTGTCATACTCCATGTAACTCACCATCGCGTAACTCTGCTCGGCATCCAAGTACTTTTTATACTCGTGGTTGAGTTTATCAAAAACAGTGGCTATCACGGGCAGCGACGCTCTGTCTGACTCACTTAACACTGGAAAGGCACAAGGTTCACACGGATCAAACCAACTTCATGTCAGCTTCAGAATTTCCACACGTTGCTATGATAAAAACCGATCTCAAAAGGTTACCAACGCAAAAGTACCTTTAAGGGACACTCCAAGAAATGCAGTACTTTAAAGACCTGATACCTAGACGTCATTCGCAACCCCTTTCTGGTTACAGTTAAAAAAAAAAAAAAAAGCTATAGCAGGCCAGGCTCAGTGGCTCATGCCTCTAATCCCAGCACTTTGGGGAGGCCGAGGCAGAAGGATCACTTAACGCTGGGAGTTTGAGACCAGCCTAGGCAACAAGGCAAGACCCCATCTCTACCAAAACAAAACAAACACCAATAGCACATATTGGTAGGCGATTCTTTTTTTCTTTTGCGACAGGGTATTGCTCTGTCGCCCAGGCTGGAGGTATACTGGCACAGACGGCTCACTGCAGCCTTGTCCTCCCAGCCTCAAGCAATCCTCCCTCTGCAGCCTCTGGAGTAGCTGGGGCCACAGGTGTATACCACCAAATTCAGCTAATTTTTTTTTTTTTTTTTAATAGAGACAGGGTTTTGTCCTGTTGTCCAGGCTGGTCTCGAACTCCTAGGCTCAGGCAATCCTTCTGCCTCATGCTCCCAGGGTGCTGGGATTATAAGCATGAGCCACCATGCCTGGCCTCAGTAGGGGATGCTTAAAGAAGACACATGCAGTGACGTGGCTTGGATTTTGAAAGAGGTGTGTGTGAAGGCCGGGGCGGTGGCCCACTCCCCTCCTGTGTGCCCACTTTCAT